TTTATATGTTCATGGCTTTCTCACTAATCTTCTTTTTATTACTGTCATCACATGTACCCTTAATAATGTCGTGTTTTTTTACCATTTTCACTATGTCTTCCAAGACCTTCGCACCGGTCGTAAGATTAGTATGGGGCGTGAAAATGGTCATGAGATCTATGAGCCTATGTCAGATACCCCTTCCTCGAGACTCATGTTCTATTTTTTAGTTCTTCTATTTCTTCTTCTATTTTGTGGCATCGTAGACTTGGCTATCCTTATTTTTCTAAATTTAAATAATTTTTACCATGATTATCTTTATCTGAATTTGTGTGCAAGTCATGCTAAATGGGCAAACATCATAGTTCTACTTATCTGGCTCATAATTTTATTCCCTCGTCCTATGCATTCAACCTCATTCACTGTGATGTTTAGGGTCTCTCCCGTATTCCATTTTCTTCGGGTCATCTTTATTATATTTCATCAAAGATTGCATGCAAGTCCTTGTCACTATCTATCAGTTTACATAGAAAATTATTACTCAACATTCCACCACTCCAAAAATTATTTGGATTGCCAAAGCCTTAGAACTTGTCTAAATTACCTTTCAAAACTTTTGTGTTGAATACGGAATCATCTACCAAACTACATGTCTTACACTTCTCTTCAAAATGATGTTGCGGAAAAAAAACACCGCATTCTACTTGACATTGCTTGCACACTACTTTATGAGATGCACGTTCCCCACTATCTATGATCTGACATTATCATGATTGTCACTTATCTTCATAATCATCTTCCCTCATCTCCTTTGGGTGGTGCAATCTCTCTTACTTGTCTTTTACCATATGATTCTCTCTTTTTCTTACCACCTCGTGTGTTTGGATACATTGTTTTTGTGCAAGATCATACCCTATCGTTATTTAAACTTACTCCTCGAATATTAAAAAGCATATTCATTGGTTATTCCCACACGTAGAAGTAATATCATATTTATTTCTCTAATATGCAGTGCTATATTACTTCCGCCGATGTCGCCTTTCATGAAGACGTTCTATACTTCTCTTCATCTGCTACTCCTCTTCATACATTTACATCTCCACCCTGAGATTTACTTCTACTCTATCTTTTTTGTTGCCCTCTCTAGAGATCTCTACTATCATTGCACCTTCTACTACGCCACCTATTACTCTATTCATCTTTAAGGATTGTTTGACTTCACTGATGCCCGTGATGCTTATTTCTAAGCCTCCACCATACATGCCCCTAACTAACCATTCTACTTCACTAGTCACCTCTTATCTGATGCTAAAGTTCATTCTGTCATTGCCTTCCACACCTATACCTAGTGACCCACCTCTTGATGACCTTCACCTTTTCATTGCCTTGCAAAAGGGTACCCATATTTGCACCCAACATCCTATGACCAATTTTTATCTTATGATTGTCTCTCTCCCACCTACTATACATTTGCTCTTGCCATATCCTCTGAGTCACTACCTAATACGTATCATGAAGCTCTTTAAGTACCTAAGTGGAAAGCAGTGATGTATCTAGAATATCACACCTTGGTGCATTGCGGTATATAAGATTTAGTACTACACTTTACTGATGCCAACATTGTGACGTGAAAATAAATTTTTATCTTAAAGTATCATCTAAATGACACTGTGACTCGTCACAAGGCCCAACTAGTAGCCAAAGGATTCACTCAAGCTCATGCATTGACTACATTGAGACATTCTCTCCAATTGTCCACATAAACTCTATTTGAGTTCTTTTATCTTTGGCGGTCAATCTCGACTGATCTTTCCATCAGTTCGACATCTCCAACACCTTTTCATATAGTGATCTAGTGGAGTAAGTCTTTTTAGAGTAACCTTCAGGATACATTGCTTAGGAGGAAACTTCCTAGGTTTGCCTTCTCCGTCGTGCTATCTATGGGTTCAAATAGAGTCCTTGTGCCTGATTTGTTAAGTTCAATGGTATTCTCACATCTTATGGCTTTTACCCCCTATAAGATTAATCCGACAATGATGTGCAAGATCACATCTGCGAGCTTTGTGGTACTTGTCATATATGTGGATGACATTCACTTGACCAGTAACAATGAGACTAGTATCTCTACTACTATAATTTATCTTCATATACACTTTGTGATGTGTCTAACTTGTAGACACTGTGTTATTTTTTTGGGATTGAATTTGCTTACCAATCATGTAAGTTAGCACTATCTCAAAGGAAGTATACCTTAGATCTTCTCCAATAGACAATTATTTGGGTGTAAATCAACTACATCACCTTTGGAGGCACAACTCAAGTTCTAGGACATTGACTCACCTATGATGGCAAATGCCAACTGCTATTGGCATTTACTAAGGAAGCTGATCTATTTGACAATTACTCGCCCCAATATTACCTAGTTGTTAGTGTTCTTAGTCAATTTATGCAGGAACCTCAAGTGGTACACTAAGGGGGGACATTATAGATTCTCACATATGTCAAGCGTGCCCCTAGCAAAGGTTTTATCTATAAGTCCCATGACCATCTTCGTATTGAAGCTTATTATAATACTAAATATAATGGGGACAAAAGAGATCAAAAATCAACTACAAGGTATTACAGATATGTTGAAGGTAATTTGATTATATGACATTCTCGGGGGAAAAAGGTTGTCTCTTATTCTAGTGTGGAAATTGAGTACCAAGCTATGGTTACTATTGCTCGTGAGATGGTATAGCTACATTCATTTCTACAAGAGTTGGATATCATGACTCCGATGCCTATGCGTATGTATTGTGATAATCAAGCGGCTATTTTTATTGTTGAAAATATTGTCTTTCACAAGATTACAAGTATATTGAGATTGACTGTCATTTTATCTGGACAAAGTATTGACGTGAGTTATTTCAACACCTCATGTGTCATCATTAGATCAATTTGTTAACATGTTCACCAAAAGTCTCATTGGTATGTCATATGATTGCTTGAGATCCAAGTTAAGTATGTTCGATCTATACACTCCAGCTTGAGAGAGAGTGTTAGATATAACCCATTAGAGGGCTTAGTGGACCAGAGCTCATTAGAGGGCTTAGGGGTTATGTTCTCTCTCTCTCTCTCTTTCTCATATATATATATATATATATATATATGACCATGGCCAGCCTTGAGCCAACGGTAAATTGGCTGCAACTGGGAGCTCATACACTAAAAAATCCCCGTCCCAGATCAGGGGAATACGATATGGTGATGCTATATCGTATTCTCTCTCCCTCTCTCTCTCTCTCTCTCTCGTTAATTGAAGATGGGCCTCAAGGGTGAGTGAGTGAGTGAAGCCTATATTAGTTAACCTTTCTTTGCCCCATCCATGTTGGTTCTTTCCCTCTCTCCTCATGTTCAATAACATTTTTAGGGAGCAAAAATCAGGGAGATGGGACCAATGATGGTGAGATGGGATCGATTCTCCTCTCCAATTCCCCTTCGTCGACCAACTATCATTTGAGGAACCAGGCCAATGACTTATGTCAACCCCTTCTTGTCCTTTTCCCTATCTAGCATGGAGCCCATCTCCAAATTATTGGAGGCAGAGAGAGGGAGAGGAGGCTGTCATCTATTGGAAGAACTATGCCTAGCAGCCTCTCTATCAGTCATTCATCTTCCTTTACTCTTTCTCCCTTCCACGAGGGGGAACACCGAGTTCGTCACCCGACCTCCCCTTCACCACGCCACACCCAGCAAAATCTTTGGCACCTGAATTTTCTATCTCGTTTCTTCTCCTCACAACCTTAATCAAGATTAAAGTTTATGTTACTTATAATTCTCTGCCTATTGGGGACGTTGCCTCACCCCCCCGCCCGAACCCCCTGTGAGGTTCTCATGTAGTTTGTCTCATATATGACCCTCCCTAAAAGCCTATGTTGACTATACCAGTCAACATAAAAAATATATGGCACAATCCTTATCTTTTTTCTAATACGTTACAAGCTAAGAGGCTGTTCGCCCTTATTATTATTCTTAAACCTTCTCCATTTGGAGAAATATGTTGATCATGTTCTGATAGCCGTCACTAGTAAATACAGTTGACTAAGAGGGGGAGAGAGGGAATGAGGAAGGGGAGAGAGGGGCGGAGAGAGACTAATCAGAATGGTAGATTCATTTTTTAATATAAAATAAAATATTAAGTATTTTTATTTTTAAAATAAAAAACAGCTTCTTAAATCTATATATGTTAATCTTATCTTTGTATGTATTTTTTTAATGAAAGAAAGTGAATGGAATCTGAGGTTCGGGTTGTGGCTCAATTAATCAGCCAATCCTAAGTTAATAGCTCGAAAGCCTGATCAATGCTTGGAGAATTCGTGTCATTGTAGAGGGTCCAGATTCGACACCTTTCTTCTGAGTCCTTGAAACCAAGCCCTTGGCAACAAGACGTGCGGAATTCCGACCGAAATTGGACCAAATAGAACGAGGTGTTGACCCCTTATGAGTCGTCCTGTGGGCAGCCTATCAAGATTGGATATGTCATCGTCCCACGGCAACTTATATAGAGAGGAGAAGCCCACGCATGAGCCCAAATCTACATCATCAGAGAAGAATAATTAGGGCCTAATCACATATCTACTCTTGCAAAATAAACACGATTGCCTGAAACGGATTTAATTAGGGGTGGTCACTGACAGTGATCATGCAGGAGTGGACGTTAATTCACAGTTTCTTCAGGAAGAAAGAAATGCCTGGTCTTTCCCGATGGCGTTGAGAGGATAAGAAACCCGAGTAATGGTAATCACTGAAAAGCCGGAAGAAAGGGGACACAGAGCTTTAACGATTCGTGAATGATGGCGGAGGCTCAGAAAACCGTCGCCTTCACCGACAGACAGAAGTGAACTATCTTCTTATGGCCATATGATCTCGGTTGCTGTATTTCATGAGAAGGAAAGCTCAAAAGTGTGAGCTGGGGAGAAATGCGGCCTCCGCCATGGAAAAGAGCAATTATAAAGATGGAAGAAGAGGAATCTCCATTCCTAGTGTCTTCTGTCCTCCATCGCGAGGAGCTCCTCCAAAACCGTGTCATCCACGTACTCAAACTCGATCACCTGCCTCACGCGATCTCCGGAAGAACCCGCCTTCCCCTGGGCCCCGGGGTGTTGCGACGAAGAAGATGACGAACCAGAAGAAGAAGAGAATCGTGCGTTCCTCGATTGGTACTCCTCCGGGAAGTTGAGCACCGCGAGGGATCCCCTCATTATGTAGGCTGCGTGGTCGTAGGCTCGTGCCGCCTCCTCCGCCGAGTTGAACGTCCCCAGCCACACGCGCTCTCCCGGCCGGGCCGAATCCCGGATCTCCGCCGCGAACTTCCCCCACGGGCGGCGCCTGACTCCCCGGTACCGGACCTCCCCCTCCTCCCCCTCCTCCCTCTCCTTCCCCCTTCGATACCCGTCTTCCATTCCTTTCCTTCTACTGCTGTGGGAGTTTTGGGATGGAGGGATGTTGAAGAAGGGACCGCCGGGTTGCCTTGGGTTGGGATGGGCTCTGCCGGCTGAGTTAAATACGGCGAGGGGACGCGCAGATCCGCAGGGCTGAAGATCTTGTAGGGTCAGGATTGGCGGACTGGTCTTGCGGAAGCTTGGAGGTCCTCTCCCACATCATGGGGCCGATGGAACCTTAGGATCCACCATAGCTCTACAGGTGGCCTTCTGCCACGAGGTTTAAACCTTGTGGATTAGAGTAAGACGATGAGGTCACCTGGTGACGCCGTCAGTTCATCATCCTTCCGTATGCACCCTCCCTCCTTCATGAGTTTTATAGCCATTCTTTCCAAAGTCAAACGAGGGCGTTAGGCAATTAAAGGTGTAATGATCAGTCATTAGCTTAGTTGACCGTGTTATCGACGGAGGGTCTAATTCGAACTCCGATCCCATCCAACGAAGGCGGTGTAAAGGGAAAGAGAAAGGCTCCGTTTGACTTCGTCTCAACCAGTCTCAAGCAATCCGGATGAGGGAGGTCGAGTAATTGACTGGCACTTCAACCAACGGTCATCCGAACGTCCCGGGAGGAGCCCAACGACCAATAAATGTCCGAATGTTATCAGACGGGTCTTAAAAAATACACAGCGAGAGAGAGAGAGAGATAGAAGAGTTAGGGCTGACTAAGACCCGACGAAGACGTGTGTCTGTCTGAGAGAGAGAGACAGAGAGGGGGGCTTTTTGGGCTGATTAAGACCAGAAGACTGCCCTTTGTCAACCGTCAGGGTGTCTACGTGGACCGGGGGAGGGCCGCCTCGGTTGCATCATCTCTTCACGTGTAGTACCGCGGTTCGAAAGGAAGACCATTCTCGCCGTGCCACGCATGTGCTGACGTCCAACATCAGACGAGTCGATAGCAGCCGATCACGCGTGTGCTCAAACACCGTCAAACACCCTTCTTCTCCTCTTCTCCATTCATCGCCCCCAAAGCAGCCGTCGCTGAAGAGACAAGAAGAGTCTACTTCCCCTCCCCTTTGTTTTCGTCTTCTTCATATTCACCTTTTCGCCACAAACAGTGCGTCTAGCTTTCACATGGTCAAGCCGCCCCCCCCCCCCGACTCCTTCCGTTCTTTGCTCTGATCATTGATAACAGGAAAAGTTTGAAAAGCTTTGATATGGTCAACGCTGACCGGTATGGCCCGCACATAGCACCTGGCGCGAGAATGTCTTTTTAGGTGGACGATATGAGGAGAGAAGAGAGAAGAGAAAAGGAGAGGAAAGGGAGAGAGAGAGAGAGAGAGAGGAAAGAAGAGTAGGATTCGGGAGCACCGACTTTATTTCATGCCGGAGGATGTGTTATGACGTCGACGAGAAGGAATTTGTTTAGTGCGACGGGTTCCTCTCTCTCTCTCTCTCTCTTTCTCTCTCTCTCCCTCCCCTCACTCGCCCCTTCGTTCGCTTTCTATCCTCATTCTTTCTGGATGTTGATGAGACGAATCATCTTTGAGGTCTAAAAGCTCTCGCGTCGGCTTAAGGGGCCCGCCAGAGGAAGATCCTCCTCCTCGTGACGGAAACCTGGGCCTTCCTCAGGCTCCACCTGGTCTGGCCTTGATGTTTCTGAGAGAGAGCCTTTCTTTCTCCCCGAAACAGGCCAGAAGACTCCACCTCGCCGGAATATATACCCACCACCACCCTTTCCTTTCCGTCTTCCGCGATAAGGGAATGCCGGCGAGGGAGAAGCTCCGTTGACGCTTCCCCGCCCGAGACTGCAACTACGACGTTTCAGAAGATATCCGTTTCTCTCCCATGCTGCTCCCTCGTGATAAGATTGTGTCTCAGCATGGGCCACCACGCCGGCGTCCGAATATAACAGACGACGCTGCCCCTTCCAGAAAGCCGTCGCCGCCGGAATAAAGACACGACGGGAAGTCTCCGGGAAGATGGTGCTCCTCCCTGGTGTGTAGATTGGGAAGAGGGGGGAGCGGGCTTCACTGTGGGCTCCACCGCCATGCCAATCCTTCCTAGAGTTCTGCATGGATTGGCGGTTGTTCGTGGATCGAGCCCATACGCAGGAGCTTACTCTGGTTCTTAGCTTTAAGAAGGGGAATAGTAGGATATTTACATAATTATTGTTTCCCATTGGCCTTCCCCAACTTTACTCAGGCTCTCGTGGCTTTAGTGGGTTTTGGGCTCGAACAATTTCTCACCGTTTGGACCAGGACTTTACAAATGGGCTCCCTCTGGAGGGCCGCCCACCGTCCCATCTCCACCCAAGTGGGCCGCCCACCTCCACATAAGTGGGCCATCAACGGGCCCCAAAGGATAATGAGACCAGGCTCCGTTCAACTGGGCTAGAAAGTGACATCAACGGTGTGTACAGGTGGAAATTCCTTCCGCACGTATTTTCTTCTCATATCTTGTTGGTGTAACCTATTTATTTCATTTATCTTTAGGATTATATTTGATTCATCCTTTATTAAAAAATTAAGAATTAAATGAAAGGGCTCATTTCGACCATCCTACTACAATGTCAAACTGGATGATCACCTCACTCCCGTTCACTTTTAAATCTCTGAAAGTATTTCTCTACCTTATTATTTTTTTACTTGGCCCTTTACGTTTTATACTCATTTATGTTTAGACCCTCAGCCCTCTCTCTCTCTCTCTCTCTCTCTCTCTCTCTCTCTCTCTCTCTCTCTCTCTCATATGTAGTGGAGTTGTAAAATAAATGGAAAATCTTGTTTTGGATGGACAAGTCAAAAATTTCTTGAAACATTGACTGACTCTACAAGGATCAAAATAATGTCCTTCGATCCACTAGAATTGTTGTTCTATCATCTCTCGAGACCATGGATGTTAGGTGGAATAAAATATTTTGGGTATCAAATCTACATAACACAAATTCTGAACTTACTGAAAATATGTCCTCAAGCCATAAGTTTTGGAATCTTTAGTGTATCAAATCTTCAATGACTTGCCAATGTGACTCTTCAATTTACAAGGATTAAAATATTTTCTTGAATCCCCAGGTGAAGTGCTTTGATTCACAAACAAAGAGAGATATCTCAAAGAAGATAAAATTTGTAGTGATAAAGAATGAGGAGAGGGATACAATGTGGGGACCATTAAATAGATTGAAAATCAGTTGAGTCTTACTGAAAAATAAGTTAAGTTATGGAACCCCTATAAAGCAAATTCAGAATGTACTAAAAGTAGAAAATAAATGACACTAATCTATGATGTGTTTGTCATGTATTTTCTCATGGGTCTAATCTTATGTTAGGTCATCTCACCCTTGTAGCCCTCCTTCATATTTCTTGGATCCCTAGCCCATCAGTTTTGAGTCACATGAAACAAAAAAAAATTATCTTTCTCTTTTTTTAATTAATGTCCTACACCAATAAGTGTGTAAATTTAAAACCATGAAACATTTTATTTGGTAGTCATGCCCTAACATCACTTTCTACAACATGATGTTCCCTATTTCTTATCCCCTTTGTATGACATTGGTTGCTCAAATTCTTCAAAGTTTTCATTCATGAACACAGGAATAACCCTGAAAACATTGATGGTCATAAGTACAATTAGTCACTTTGAAAATTATCTGTATTTTTTTAAGAATATTAATTATTGCAATTGAGTTGATTTAGTCAGATTTATCTCTATCAAGGAAAAGGGTTTTTCAATTCAAGTTGATGAGAACATATTTTTCCACATTAAAAATCTAGAATATTCCACGTTTGGTAGCTCATATGAACAAACTAATTTCAACTATAGATCACATAGGATGGGTTATTTATGTTAAACGCTTCAAGAAAATAACTATTTTGACCAGATATTTCATAAATTTATATCTTTGTTTTTTATGGATCAAGTATACCCTTAAAATAACTAAGAATAATAGCAGAAATACCATACATATAGTCAGGAATAGTAAATATTATTAAGGTGATTTTACTCAACTAGAACACAAATTATTATTTATTATTTAAACTTCATTTGCTATCACAATACTCCCACTCGCATTGATGAAGAGATGGATCCGGGCTTAGTCGAAGTGAGAGGACTGACGGCGGCGGGTGTGTGGGGCCCACCAAGACATACAAGCGATTCGTACGCAATGCGCTGGTTGCCGTATCGTGTCAGAGTTTCTCTCTCATATGCATACGTAGCGATACGGACTGCAAATGCGGTCCGAGGTCTGACATGGGCTTGTCGGGAAGTAGCTTGTCGGGTAGAGAACGGCAACCCCCTTAAACGGGATGGCAAGTTATGTAAAACATAAAAGATCGAGGGGTAATAGTTATTTCTAGTCCACTGCGACTGCCGTTCCCACCGCGTTGCCTTCTAATAAAAACTCACGTTTTTCCCACTCGCGGCCTCCACCGTGAGAGATACGAAATCTCAGTGCGCGCCAGGAGGGACCTGAGAAGCGACGGCGATCGAGATCAGCGTCCTCTCCGCCGCCTCCTCCTCAGCTGGTCTACGATCTCGTCTCGATGGGATTCGTGGCCTTCGTCGGGAGAGTGCTGTTCGCCTCCATCTTCCTCCTGTCCGCAGTCCAGGAGTAAGCGACATTTCCTCCGATTCTAGATCTCGGCTATGTTTGAGCTTGTCATGTCATGGCTTATAATCCCGTGTTCTTTTTATTTACGTCGAGTCTGCTCCGCGGCTGTGGTGGGTGGGGGGTGGGGTTAGGGTTTCTGACTGTGGATTTCTCCGATTATTTCGGTCAAATGTACTTCTGCTCTCGCTGCTAGTGGTTTCTCGGGGTATTAGGATTCAATTTTTTTTTCTCTGGTTCTATGCATTAGCTGCGGAGTTGAGATTTGTATATACTAATGTTCGTCTCACTTTGTCTTTGCTGCTGCTACCTCTGAAATCCGTAGGTGTTTGGCTCTGTGGTATCCCGCGTTCATTTCTATTCCCTGCTCTGTGGTTTATACGCGCGGTTTCATGTTCCCCGCTATTAATTTCATATTGTTATTGCTTCGTATTGTCTGCGTACGTTGAGGATGTTCGCCCTTTAATTAAAATGCTTTTAACTTATCGCGCATTGCTTGTAGTTAATATATATGGAGCAGTTCAGTTTCTCGTGTGCGTGTCTCTCACTCATTTTCCTCTTTACATAGTTTTCTGTACTTCTGCCTGCGCTCGTCGTGTAGGTTTCCTTTTCGTGAATTATCCTTGTACATAGCTTTGTCATCTCCTGATTGCCTTCCGGTACTCTTGAGGTGTTGGCCTGAAGCTTCTCGTCACATCTCAAAATTTGGTTAGCATTGTGATCAACAGACTCAGAGTTGAGATCAGACCGCCTCCATACTTTTCTTGGGTATTCCGATTAGTCCATGAATCATGTCCATGTATTTGGCGTGGTTGTCCTCTCAATAATTCAATGCTATTCATGCACACCATTCATGCATCAAACGCTGAAGAAGTGTGACAAGCGTTTTAGTATTCCTATTGATCAATCAAAACAGCTTAAGTGGATATCCAGTGTGACATCTGTTCAGGGGAACAATCTTCGAAATCTATCACTGGCCACTAGGTCGATGAAGAATCTCTCAAAAATCTGCTCTTTGATCAGTGATTCACCAGCCACCTGTTGAGCTTCCATCTGTTGTGAAGGAACTTTGAGCTAGCATATTCCAATGGTAGCAATGAGACGTCAGAATGGACTGATTATGTAGCATCAATCCTCTCAGTTTTATACTTCAATGAGACATCTGTTGCACCCGGAAAACCAGGCATGCTATCCTATCCACTGCCAACCCTGGTGGTTTGAGGCAAAACTAGAGCTGGAATCTTCCTGTGCCACCATGGCCATCAACCGATACAAGTTCTCCATTCCTGATTATGAGGTTTCCTCATTGCTTCTTTCAATCACTTCTAAATTATTCTCGATCATTTTTATGTTTTCTATTGTCTTAGATTTTTCCTTATCATTACCAACAATTAGGTTCATCCTGCTCATTATCCTGAAATGAGCGCACAAATTCATGATTGTATATTTTATTTTTGAGAAATAATCCCATATACACTGATGATATCCCCCTATGAGTTCGCCTCGCGTTGACCTTGGTGAATGCACTTTTCTTCCAATCTTATAGGTTTAGGGAATTTGGGGTTGATGGCGGACCTGCAGCCAAGGCTTTCCAGCCCAAGTTTGACCAACTGTCCAAGCATCTGCATACCCATTCAGGTTTCCAGGTGCCTGAAATCGAAGTGAGTCGTCTCATCCAGAAAACATTTGATGCCCCCAATTAAATTGCTTTCCGGTTGAAAAATTGCGATTCGACTTCGAGTTTTCCTCTTTTATCTCACCAGATAAAGCATATCATTGCTGGCACCGTGGCTTTGAAGGGGCTTGGTGGCCTTCTGTTCATCTTTGGGAGTACTCTTGGGGCTAGTCTCCTGGTTTGTGTTCCATCCCTTCTTTTTACCCTGACTGTGGTGTTCATGACCCGGCTAAGTCCAGAGGCTGGCCTGGTCCAGGAAGTAGCTCCTCTCTCTGCCCCCCCTGCCCCCCCCTCCTTCTCGGATGGGTGGAGATTGAGGGCCAGACTGGTTCTGGACTTTTTCTAGGGTCCAGCTTGAAAGCCCATTATCTGGGCTGGCTGGTCGGATTGAGGGCCAGACTGATTTCTCTCTCTCTCTCTCTCTCTCTCTCTCTCTCTCTCTCTCTCTCTCTCTCTCTCTCTCTCTCTCTCTCATGAAGCTTCAAATGCTTCTATGCAGGCAATTTACCTGGCGCTCGTGACTCCAATCCTCAATGATTTCTACAACCACCTGGACAAACCAGAATTCAGCCAACTCTTCCTAAAATTCACGCAGGTTTTATTCTCTCTCTCTCTCTCTCTCTCTCTCTCTCTCTCTCTCTCTCTCTCACACACACACACACACACGCAAAGAGAACCATATACTCCATATTATGACAGGAATTTAGGCTGAAATCATCTGATTCCTCTTTCTTTGGCAGAACATGGCTCTGTTCGGGGCGCTGCTCTTCTTCCTGGGGATGAAGGACTCCTCGGTCAAGAGGGCATCCAAGAAGAAGCCGACCAAAGTCAAAACCGTCTGAAGAGCAGGGTATTGAGGGTCGGATTGAAATCTTTCGAGGGTTTCAATGGGGTTCTTCTTTTTCTTACATTTCAGGGCAGATTAACAGCATTTTTTTAATTTTCTCCTTCCCCTTTTTTGGTGGCTTGAGCTTCGGGGAAGCAGGAGCTTGTGATGTCTTTCTCCTACATTCTCTCCCTTATTTACGTGTTCTGAGATCAGGCTTACAATATTGTCCATCACAGCGAGCCAAGGAGAGAGAAAGAGAGAGGAGAGAGAGAGAGAGCCAGAATTTGAGATTGAGATGAAGTAGGGGGGTGGAGGGACAGTGAGAAAGAGAACCCGAGAGTTGTAGATGGAGAGCGTAAGAACTGGAGGTAGAGAGAGAGAGAGAGAGAGAGAGAGAGAGAGATAGAGAGAGGAGGGACGAGTGAGAAAGCGATCCCGGGAGTTATAGATTGATAGAGATAGAGAGAGAGAGAGATAGTGAGAGAGCCCATTAGCCCCTTTGTCCGATGTCGTCGCCACCCACTGAGGAATAGCCGAGGGGGTCACCGGCACACGCAGCTAAGGTTTCCCCGACGGTCACCGGAGACAAGCTTACGTTTTCCGTCGAACGGCTTCATGTTCTCCGATTTGCAGGCAGAATTTCCAAACCCTGATGGGGATGGATGGTGGAGAGCATTTTCTAAGGCGCCCCGCGACAAGAAAAGCCCTTCCGGCGCTGGCTGCCTGTTCGCGCTGCCGCTGCGGAAGAGGCATTTCGACAAAGAGCTAATGTAGGAGGCGTCGTCCATTCGTAGGTAGGGTCTCTGACCAGAGATGAGGAGTGGAACAACCTCCGGGGGTTGACTGTCTCTATCGCAGGCTAACTGCTGGGGCCGGGCGGGTCACGGGAACAGCGGCGGCGCCGTCGCCCGCGTGACGACGATGGGGAGGGTCCTCGTCTTCCGGCTTCGCCGTTGCGTCGCCCGCACGGAGGCGGACGTCCATGTAGATGTTGACCTTGCTGACCACGCTTCATCTCGGGCTTCTCTCTGAAATCGTGCGGTGTAGCTGGTTATCTCCTCTCTCTCTCTCTTTCTCTCTATCCCTTGGTCAACTGGGGTCAAGTGTGCGGGCTGAATCCTGTGAAGTAGCAGTGCTGTTGGGTTGTTCTCTCCGGAATTCATGTCAACTCGATTGTTATTTACGAGAGAGAGAGAGTCCGGCAATCATCCATGCACGTGCGGCGGCCTGACCTGAAACTTCACTGCCCTATTGACTAGTCAGCGAGGGCAGTCCATGGATTGCCGACGTTCTGCTCGTCCATTAACTGTACCCTGCCACGAAGACCTTCAGTCACCAATTTGCCGGTATACTCGAACACTTACCGCAAACCCAGAAACATACGTCATCTAATTGCCGACCAAGCCCGACATATACCAGTCGTCTAGCCGGAGAAGGAATACAGAGAGACAGAGACAGAGACAGAGAGAGAAAGAGAGGAAGAAGAAACTTTGCTACCGTGACGAAAATACGTACAGAATAGAGCTAATGAAGAAGAATGAACCAGTCAGTGGGAAGGTTTTGAGCCTGGGCGGTGACATGAGTCGAGATGCTCCTCCAAGTACGCTTCATGTCCCCCCCTGCCAGAGCAAGTCAGTTTCCACGCTGGAGTATAGCATCCTCGATCATTCATAAGCCTTACGTTAAGATCGTGAGCCTCTCTCTCTCACTCGCTCGCGCGCTCTCCCTCTCTTGTCGTCATGCCGCCTCAAGCTCTCCTGTTGGCCCACCAGCCCGCATCCCTCTTTTCCATCTTTTTACTTTCTTTCCTACAGAAGAGCCAAATCACCCCAAACTCAGACTTCCTCTCTCTCTCCCCCCTCCAGTAACGCATAACGCGCATAGAGAGAGTCTGTCCATGCTACCGGCTCAGCGTTGTATAGGGAAAGGGAACCGAGCCGCTGCATGGGGACTGTTGGCGGACGCTGTAGCACTCGGAGCTCCCCATTTGCGCCTAAATAATTCCCCCGGCCCCCGCACATCCCGGGCCCCTGGGACCCACTCGCAACCGGCTCGGGAGCTAGCAGGAAACCTCTCCTTGGCTCAGACTGACTGTAAACTCACATCTGGTGGGCTGCTTCACATCTGGTAGACGTAGAAGAACAATAGAGCGTAATTCGATGGGATGGATGAACCATTTAGCTGGGCAGATTGCACCAGTATTAGAAAGTTGAAATGTTGAGGAAAGAAGGTTTGGACTGTGGTAATGATGGCAGTAATCATGGACTTTGGGACGCGATCCAGTAGCTGCTGGTTGTGGTGTGATAGAGTCTACCGACCTTGGAGTAGTATCACCGAGAGAGAGAGAGAGAGAGAGAGAGATGGGTTTACTTTGGAAACGCCATACTAGTTAAAATGGGAGGCGAACAGCTGCTCAACTGTTCCTATCCAAGCTGACTCTCTCTGTCTCTTTCTCTTTATGGCTCCGGTCCGAACCAGCACATCAAAATGGAGGAGATCAAGATCTCACATTGGACAGGTTTATACGAAAAAATTCTCCATAAGGTCTATACGCTGACTTGCTCTACTGGATTCATCGAAGGGACCGGGACAAGGAGGAAGAAGAACTGAGGCCAGGGACCAAGCGCAGAGGCGTGAGGATGGGAGGTTTCAGTTTGGCTATTTGAGGCCTTTCCGAATGGAAACTCCGAGTATGAAAAGTGGCATATGAGGTGAAAAAAATATAACGTATTTATTTATATATTATTGTAGGCCATTAGGGAGACCAAGGGGAATATAATATTCATCACCGTTGCGACCCTCCCCTCTCACCCTCACCCTCTGGCGTTTATAAACACGGCCAGAGCTTTCCACTGGCTTCCACCAAATAGATTGATAGAGAGAGAAAGGGGAGAGAGAGAGGAGGACGACGAGAAGGGAGAAGAAGAAGAATAGAGGAGACGTAGGTGGGAGTGATGACGGGCCTGGGGTCTCCATGTGGGGCGTGCAAGTTCCTAAGGAGGAAGTGTGTGAGGGGCTGCATTTTCGCGCCCTACTTCTGCCATGAGCAAGGCGCCAAGCACTTCGCCGCCATCCACAAGGTCTTCGGGGCGAGCAACGTCTCCAAGCTCCTCACTCACCTCCCAGCGCCTGACAGGTGCGAGGCCGCCGTCACCATCTCCTACGAAGCCCAGGCCCGGCTTCAGGACCCCGTCTACGGCTGCGTCGGCCACATATTCGCCCTCCAACAGCAAGTGAGCCTCCCCTTTCCTCCCCACTCGTGGATTTCGACCTCAGATTGATTACTCGGTTTCTTTCAGTGTACTCATCTGCTTCCCATCGCGTCCTCGTGGATTGGCTGTCGACATTGACTAGACAGTACAGTTGGAGCTTTTAATATCTCTGTGATTGACATCCGCGCTTGTCCCTCCTGCCCGCTCTGCAGGTTGTCAATCTACAGGCCCAGCTCTCGTCCCTCAAGGCTCAAGCGGCAGGCCAAGGTCTCGCCACCTGTATTCCTCCGAACAATCAAGAAGAGAAGCTCTGCAACTGGTTCCCTCTCTATCAGCAAACCGCGCAGGGCATCCTCCTCAGCGAAGACGTGAAGATGATGCAACCCGCCTGCTCGAATCCGGCGGTCAACCCCGATGACACGGCGTTCTACGATGGCAGCTTGGCCGACTCGGGCAGCATGCAAACTTCTCACCAGTGCTATTCTCACACGGCTGATCAGCAGCTCTTCTCCTTCGGGGACGGCTTTGGTTCCCCACCTCCCATGGTTCCGTTCGACGCCCGTATGGACGAGCTTCAATCTCTCGCGTTTTCCGGTCTCCGTCGTTCTTGACCCGATCTCAGAAGGAGAGGAACGGAAAAAAGGAGGAGAAAAACAAGAAGAAGAAGAGAAATATATCCTGTGTGTAAAATTATATTCATTGACGTTTGGTTGCATTGTAAGGAGTTTAGGCATCTACAGACGGCCGCCAATGAATAAGGAGGCAGGTTCCGCCCGAAAAAGGCGGCGTTGACGTCGTTTCAATCGATGTCCTTTGATAATTCGTTGCGTAAGATCTGCCCATCCACTGTTATTTCCGTAGAAAAACATAAATTCGACCATATTCACCATATCAGGGCGAGGGACAGGGGTAAGGGTAAGGGCGGGGAGGGGGAGGGAGGAGAGAGAGAGACTGAGAGAACGAGAGAGAGAGTATCAGTGAATGAGTGTGTGTGTGTGTGTGTGTGTGTGTGTGAGAGAGAGAGAGAGAGAGAGAGAGAGAGAGTGAGTGAGTGTGAGTGAGTGTGAGTGAGTAAGCGAGTCAGAGAGAGAGTGAGCGGGAGTGAGTGAGCGTGAGTGAGTAAGCGAGTAAGAGTGATTGAGTGAGTGCGAGAGAGAGAGTGAGCGGGGGTGAGTGAGTTTGAGTGAGTAAGCGAATAAGCGATTGATTGAGAGTGAGAGAGAGAGTGAGCGGGAGAGAGCAGGAGTGAGCGGGAGTGAGTGAGTGTGAGTAAGCGAGTAAGAGATTGAATGAGAGTGAGAGAGAGGTGTGACTGATTGGGTGAGAGAAAGAGAGAGTGAGTGAGTAAGCGTGAGTGAGAGAGCGAGAGAGTGAGTGAGTAAGCGTGAGTGAGAGAGCGAGAGAGTGAGTGAGTAAGCGTGAATGGGAGGGCGAGAGAGAGAGAGAGAGAGAGAGAGAGTTAATGATTGAGTGCGTAAGCGTGAGTGAGTGAGAGAGATAGTGAAGCGGGTGAGAGAGCGGGAGTGAGAATGAGAAAGGGTGAGAATGAGCGAGTGTGCCCACTGTCCGTTATGAGCTGTCGAATAAAGTTTCAAGAGCGGGAGTGGGAAGGGTGATAATGACCCAGCCCATTATGACCTTCAAGCCCTCTTCCCAAGATATTGGGCCGTATTCGCAACAAACGTTTGGCCCAATCAAGCCAGAGAAATCTCAACCATTCGTTACATTCCGACAAACTTTTGGCCGAGTTTCATTGTGGTGGGCTCCACCGGGATCGGCGGGCCCACTGTCCCCTCCGGCTGCTTGTTCTACTGGGGCATCTTCAGTTGGGAAAGTCCACCCCCCATCCCCAGTGATCTGAGTTTATATTAAGAAAGATGGAAAGTCTTTGATAGTCAACCGACTTTGCGACGACCTTAAAGTATAATGTATAATAATAAATCTTTATTTTTCCCGATGACTGCGCCGACGGCTAATTCAAGTTTCGAAGCGTCGGCAGTGGCTGCAATTTGGCCTTGTTTTAGAGAGATGAGGAAAAAACAGCGATGAGACCAACGCGAGCAGACTTTCCCCCCTACCTCTCTCTCTCTCTCTCTCTCTCTCTCTCTCTCTCTCTCTCTCTCTCTCTCTCTCTCTCTCTCTCTCTCTCTCTCTCTCTCTCTCTCGCTCTCTCGCTAGGAATAACCATTTGGTGTCTCGAGGGTTTTGTAGGGTTCATTGGCTGTCGGATCCTCACTCTACATCTCCCTTCCTCTCTCTGCACTGGAGGACAAGTAAATTAGTAATCGCATGTTCCCCGTGGAACTCTGCATCTCTTAAACTAGAGAGTTGACTGAGCAGTAGGCAAAACCGTGTGCGTTATCTCGAGCTAGCGATGACGTCCCCAGAAGTCAAAGCATGCTTTTCAACGATCTTCAATCTCTGAGAACTCGCGATTTTCATTCCAGTCTAACTAAAAGATGTGCTCTGCAGCTCGGCCGCGCAGAGAGAGGAAGAGAGAGTAGGAGAGATATCAATATATATATATATATATATATATATATACAGAGAGAGTAGGAGAGAGAGAGAGGAGAAGGTTTTGCTAGGTTCTTCCCTTCCCGACTGTCATCTCTGTGAAGCGTTCTCTCACCTGTACGAGAAGGGAAAGATGAGAGCCCGAGCGTGGGTCCTCTCAGAGAGGAGACCAACTTTTAGTTCATGATTATTGCATCTTCGACTAGTATTATATCATACGGAGATGATCACAATCAGTTTATCCTCTATCATCCATCCATCGAAAGGATTACGAGCTCTCTGAGAGTCGGTCAGTCCATCATCATTCGCAGTGCGAGATCATGGAGCTCGCCAAGGTCGTCTCCGTGGTGCGCTCTCTTCCGGGGTCGCTGCTCCTCCATGAAGAGGGGATCCCTTGTGTCGTTGAGGTGGGTGCAGTCGAGGGAGCTCTGCGGAGATGCGGAATGCTCGCCGGAGCAGGAGCGGGGGAGGACTGAGGCCTCCTTCCGGCTGGGGTTCTCTGGCGGTCGGAGATCAGCCATGGCGAGTCCCAGTTGGGCTCTTCCTTGCATCACCTGGGCTTCCAAGCTCGCTATCTGGAAGAAGACCAGCAATCCTCAGATATGCTGCGGAAACCATGCCATGAATGGCAGATATGTACAGGGACGAAGATGGATGGAGAGAAGGATGGAGAGGTAAATAGATGACAGAGAGAGAGAGAGAGAGAGAGAGAGAGAGCAGATAAAAATACAGAAAGAGGACGTAAGTTCGATGAATAGGAGCGCGAGAGAAAAAATGAGTGGAGACGGAGGGAGATAACTTAGATAAATACAGAAACCGCAAGAGAGAGAGAGATCTTTCACTACTTGAGATCACCTTCATCTGTTATTCATAGTCGCAAGCAAAACTCATTAAAATAAATCCTGAAAAAGGGAGACTGAAGTTCGTGCACCAAAAAGAAAAAGAAGGATGGCGGACTGAGACCAAGAACCACAAGCTCAGATTCTCAAGAGCCGCAGAGATGCATCTGAGCTTGGAGAGCAGGGTGAAGGAAGCTCATGGTGGTAGGAAGGCCCACCTCCTGCTGCAGGGCAAAGACGTGGGCAACGCAGCCGTAGACGGGGTCCCTGATCCTGGCCTGCGCCTCGTAGCCGATGGCGACCACGGCGGCGCACCGCTCGGCGGGCGACACGCGCCGCAGCAGCTTGGAGACGTTGCTAGCCCCGAAGACCCTGTGAATCGCCGCGAACGGCACCGGCCCCTCCTCCGCCCCGAAATGTGGCGCGAACACGCACTCCGGCAAGCACTTCCGCCGCAGGAACTTGCACGCCCCGCATGGCGACCCCGCCCCAGACGCCATCATCCCCCCTAAGAGCAAGAAGAACACACCTTCCCCGTTAAACACTAGCCTACTTATCCCTCATCGTTCAAGAGAGAGAGAGAGAGAGAGAGAGAGACAGGGAAGGGGGGGATGTAGGGATCGAAGGGAACATCCATTAATGACGGCGTTTTTTAAGATGGTGGCGGAGTGGGCGACTTCATCATGCATTTAACAAGACCCGCCCGTAAACTAATGCCTCGTTTTTAATACTTTATTTGGTAAAAATAAAAGTATTTAATGTCAATTTACGGAAAATTCAAATTACCCTTTGCTTGAAATGGAATCATGGATTCACGCGAAATCTCCCCGTATATTTTGGACTGCCACAAGATCAACAATGCCATGAGCTTGGGCTTCCATTGCTATTATTCAAAGAGGCCCAGAAAGCAATGCACCTAACCTGTTGAGGAGCAACGAGCTGGCCTTGGGAATTGGTGATCGCAGGTGGGGATCGTCGGCGCCGCCCCAAGACGGGACAAGATTGGAAGTTGGGAGCTTAGACGGATTAGGATTGGACTGGACGGATAGTGGAGAGATGGAGAAGGGTTTGAATATATTATCATCTTCTCAGAAGGGCCAGAAAGTTGTCCGTGGTTACAAGACGGAGGAGCCGCTGAAGCCGGCCTGGCCAGAGGAAGAGTGTTCCAAAGCCGAAGAAGGGAAGGCAAAACGAGAACACGAAACGGCGTTGTTCTCTGGCCTCCGCGACTGGAACTCATGGCTGGTGTAGCTCCCCATCTTCGCCAAAAACTGCGTCTTCACCAGCGGAGAAAGAAGTAAGCAGTCGGGGGAGAGGGGGAGAGAGAGAGAGAGAGAGAGAGGAGAGCTCACCTCTTGTGATAAGATCGCACTTTCACTTACAACAAAAACTGCATCTGCATTACGGGGAAAGAAAGAGAGAGAGAAAGGCTCCTCACCTCTTCTGATGCAACCTCACTTTCATCAAAAAGCTGCATCTTCACTTGCGGAGAAGGAAATAAGTAAGCTTTCTCAGAGACACAGAGAGAGAGAGAGCTTGTTCACCTCTTGTGATGAAACGTCGCTTCCACCAAAAACTGCATCTTCACCTGCGGAGAAGGAAAGAAGTAAGTTGTCTCAGAGAGAGAGAGAGAGAGAGAGAGAGAGAGGGAGGGAGGGAGGGAGAGGGAGAGAGCCTGCTCACCTCTTGTGATGAAACCTCACCTTCACCAAAAATTGCATCTTCACCTGCGAAGAAGGAAAGAAGTTGAGACGGGGGGGGAGAGAGAGAGAGTTGTGTTCCCACTGACCTGAGCAGTGTCGTAGACGATGTACTCGTTGTACAGCAGCTCCGAAGCCCGAACGGACGAGGGAACTGGTCTACCGCATGGTACAGCCACCCGATCCCTCCACTGGACGAACTCTGACTTCTCAGGCGTCGTCTTCCCCAATCCCTTGGTCGAGTTCTTCCCCTCCGGAGGCCGCTCCATGTACTGAAGCCCACAACGCAAATCTTCAGAGCTCGCCGATTATCCCAACCATGCTCATCATAATAAAACTTAAAAACGCAAAAACCCTGATTCGATCAATGTCTAGAGAGAGAAAAAAACGCCAAAAATGGACAATAATCACGTGCAATGTAAAAAAAATCTGGAGGCTCAGAGAGGTTGATCGACTCTCCCACTCACCGAGGCCTTCTTGAGTTCATAGATCTCCCCTAAAGCAACCTCACTAAGAAGCAATAGCCCCACGGGGTTCTTCCTGTCCACGAAGCAGTACTGGGCGCTCTTGCTGACGAGGTCTGCAAAGTATATCCCCTTGCCGAACTACAAAACCCACGAATAGAAAACCAGCCAAGATATGCTCACCATTGACATTCCCGAACTGTACATAATTAGCCGATGATTGAAGCAGAAGGGAGGAGATAGAAAGGAGGCAGAGACCATATAGCCAGTTGCCGGAGCTTCAGGAGGTGCAATTCTCAGCCCTTGACTGAGGATACCCACAAAATTTGTCACCCGGGAGCCTGAGAACACAAATTTACAGCCGAAATTAAATTCTTGGAAACCAAAAATAAATAATGATGAGGAAAATTCCCGTTTCTTCATCACTATTGCAAACCCGGTTCAAATGAGACAGTCTAGACCAAAGACTAAATGAAGAACATGAAGACTTTCCATTTTACGCAAAAAAATAAGGACTGTAATGGGGAGCCTGGGATGGGATTCTTTCCTGAAATAGAAAAATTCTTAGAGAGGATCGGGCAAAGGAAGGCAGTTGCTGCTTTACCATGCCACAGGAGCATCTTATTCTGCAGTTTGTCTCTGAAGGACGTATATCTATCACACTCTCCTTCTCTGTCAAGGGCAAAAACGTCTTCCAACTCGAGTTTCCAATCCTGAGATGGTCGTCGAACAAGAGCATTAAATCACGGGAGGCTGACCAAAATTATGAACGAGAAATCTAAGATAAACTTCGAGAGATTCATACTTTGTGCGTGGGAGCGTGGGTGTTGAGGAGGTACTTCTCCACCAGCTTGTAATCTTCACTGTCGTGGTCCAATGGAGCAATGTTGCAGTGAAGTTTCTTGTACTTGTCATCCAGGGACTCGCCATCTTCAGTATCAAAGCCGACTAATCTAGCGGCTATTTCAATATCTTGCAGAGCCTCCAACATTTTCACCTAAGATCATCCCATCATATAAGGTTTATCCAGTTAAGTTTCTTCCACAGGTGAAATATTTCTCCCAGAGGATCACAACCTAAGTTTGTCTTGCAGACACTAAATGGAAACAAAAAAACATTTGATATATTTTATATAATCTCCAATAATTACTTCGTCCCATGGTGTCGGAACAATTTCTGATCAGAATCTCGAGAGAAGAAGCATAACTAAAATAATAATAAAAATAGTGCCAAGTCCTTAGATTGAAAATCTTCCAGATCCATAATAGCACGAGAGTAGAAGCAAAAATTAACAAATAAAAGAAAGTGCCAAGTTACCTTTGCTTGAAAATCTTCCAGATCCATAATAGCACGGGGGTGAATAGAAGGAATCAAAGTGAAGAAACGGTTACTGGCATCAATGATCATGCTCTTCATAATAGATGTTTCGAAGTTTTCAGAATTGGTTAACAGATTCTGTATCTCTGTTAGCGCTTCAAAACCTGAGAAATTCACCGGGGGGAAAAACCATTAAATCGTTGGTTCGAGCATCCACAACATATATAATCAAAATTAATTATACCTTCGAATTGCCCACTTGCTGGCATTAATTAGACAGATACATTAGGAAAGGTGATGCCATTGTGAAGAAGTTACCTTTCTGAATGTTCTCTTTGCTTAGTTTTCCGAGTGGCATTTCAGACATATTGATTTCGAACTCCATCATGGCAGCCCTAAGAAAGGGAGACCAGTAAGAAAGGGAAACCAGCCTTGCATCGCATTTACCAGGCAAATATAAAGTTAGACTTGACAATAGCAAAGAGGGAACCTGTATGTCTCAATGTCAAAAAGCATCTTCATTAATGCCACCAACTGCGGAGCCAGCAAGCTCTTTGTATTGTTTGGGTCTTTCCTTTTTGGCGCTTGTTTGACTCCATAGTCCTTCATCAAAAAAATTTAATGAGCAAGATAAAGAGGAAGCGCCACTTAAGAGAAAGTTAAGGTAACCAATTAATAAAAGAGAATGCCATACAATGTCTAGTGGGAAAAATCGCCCTGGTTGCTTCATGAAATTATGCTTCTGCTCCCATGTCTCCCAAGAGTTGCCAGTTTTCTCAAGAAAAAGACGCTTGAATTCATCAATGGCCTCAGACTTTGACATCTGCTCAATTTTTTTTCCACCAATCTTGTCATTTCCAACTCTTCCCCACTTCCGGAAAACATAACAGTCCAGATCTTTATCCTCTTCGATGACTTGGAGGATATAATAGCTTCATAAAAAAACACAAGTCTGTATAAGTTCAGCCAAATTTGGAAGAAGAACAATAGAGTGAACAACTGACTGAATGTATATTTCATTATCTATGTCAGTTATAACTAAAGGAAGATATTTTTGGGAATAACCAATATATCCTTATTTTTAGATCATCGGGATTTGATAATGAAAACATCATCGATCTCCATTCCCCAGATAAACTGAGGATTGATGACGAGGATACCTGTTGATCCCAGTAGAAAGATCAGACATATTCAAGGTTGTGTTATAAACGCTCTTCCCATCCTCAAGAATGTGACCGGTATCCTGCAGGCCAGACGACTCATGGACAGCACTTCTCCCTTTCACTTTGACAGTGAGTGTTCCACTCTTCAGAGTCTCGCTGCCTAACTCAACCTTGTACGCATCAAATGGCAGCTTTCTCTGCTTGCTGATACAGTCTGTTAAGTAGTCCTCCCTCACAATGGGTATCTTCATCCTCCTGCGGGGATACATATATCTTTACGGCAACTTTAATACAGAGAGAATCTGCTCTAGGAAACTTAAACGATCATGGGACTTCAAAAAAAAAGTACTCACCGAGCTTTCCTGATTTCAGGATCAGAATCGTCTACTTCTTCACTCACGACCAAACAGTTAGTCCCTACGGTGCAGAAAAGCCTGTAATAAGTCCTATTTGGAATAATCTTGTGTCTTTAAATATGTCTGAATGTATTTCCATTTTATTTTTAATTTACTGGCAAGTAAAAATCAACCAACACTACTCCAGAATGATTGAGAAAAACTATGGGAAGTGAAGTGGGCTGATAGTGACACGAACCAACCTACTCTCTCAACGGATTAGTGCGGATAGAATTTAAAGAGAGGAAGAATAGGTACCTTTGCTGATCTTGGAGAGAACATCTCCCCCCACACTTGCAAGTTTCTTCTTCCAATCCTCCTGGAGAAAAAATATTTATGTTATCTACTCCATTCCATCTTAAAAAATAATGATTAAAAGTGTCAGATGCTACTAGAAGCATTCTATCCGAGTAGGTTGTAATGCACACCATGGTATCTTTTAACTTTCCAGTCAATGCAACTTTCAAGTTCCTTAACCCTTCCACATTAGACGTTTCAGATGACCTGTCAGCGAACTGATCCATAGAAGCTTTTTTAGAAGATTGAGGAAGAAGTCTTTCAGGCTTTTTGACCTTCTGGGTTCTGAACCACTGCATACATTGAGGTCCAGAAAGTTTACTGAGATTCGAAAACTGTTGCATTTCCTCATGAAATAACAACTCCTTTACCTTTACAAGATACTGGTTGCTAGTTTCTTCTGGTACCTTCCATTTTGCTTTAAGACGAACAGGTTGAGCAGTCGAATATGAACACTTGCTCCATGCTGATATATAACCATGACAGTAGTACTGGCCACTAGAGTAGTAGAGAGAACCAGAACAGAGTGGACACTTAGCCAACGCCCCAAACAGCATTCCATCAGCACTTGACCGAAAAAGAAGGCAATTAGAAATGGTGAACCAAAAAGGCAAGGATGAAACCTACAGTTACCTACTATAAATAATTGACGGTTTTCAATCAATGTTGAACCGCAGAAAAAAAAATAAAGAAAAAAAATAATATGGAATAAACAGGTAAACAGAAAAGACAAAAACTTTTATCTAAATGAAACTATGGCAGGTGCTGCAAACACCCATACTTCAGCATTCTTCCATAATAAAGAATTATTCAAGATCCTGCGGCTGCCTAATCTGAGGACAATCAACATAAAGATTAAGTGAGAAGATTCCTGAGTCAAAAGGACGTAAAAACCAATTACGAATTATAAACAAAAAACTCTAAGAAAAATGGTAGGTTAATAAAAGGAAAATAATAAAAAGTTGAATGAACAGAGCAAAGGGAAGAATCTAGGGACCCCCAGAATGACGCTGAGGCATGTTTCTGGACACTGATGAAGCGGAAGAAATGCAAGGGAATATAAAATTTCTGGAGGCAGATCCATCAGTTCTTCCCTTTTTACTCTGAACAACATTGGTGTACTAATTCTGAAAAAGCAGTATGATCCTCAATTAGAACTGTCCCCTGAGTCTACGAAACAAACCGCCCCACACCAAGTCAAGGAACTCCCGACTCTCTCCCTCTCTTTTCCTCCCTCCACATTGTTCTTACATTTTCAAGATTTAAATGGATGATTGTAAGAAATTTTATTTATATATTCAGAAAACCCAAAAAAATCCTAGTCAGCACGAGAAATTACCAAAATCATGGACAATCTAAACCACCAAAAAGTTCGCAAAAAAAAAAAAGAAAAGAAGGTAAGACAGGTATTAAGAATCATAGAATTTCAGTTACGAAGTTACCATCGTTCCCGTAGATCGTATTCTGACCCTGCTGAATCCTGCTCATTAGCTTCAAGCATCTCCCGCAGCTCTGCACTTGACACGTGCCTCTTAAGTTCATCTTTTATGGCCCATAATGCATTGCTCTGTTGTTCGAGTCTACTCTCAAAGTTACTACTACTTGACTCCAGTTGCTCTAATGCACCAGCCCTGCTTCTGCTCGCTGCTCCACGAGGTGCAATCCTTTCCTCAGTTTTAGAAATTTTACTTTCATTATCATCATTCACAGCTCTTCTACGTTTAGTCCCTTCAGAAGCAACCTGTTGTAGGCCGCCTTTACCTTTTACTTCAACTTTCAGAGCATGAAACACCCAAAGTCAGAAGAAGATTCATAAATTGGATTATCACATCTAGGGTCTTTAAAGGATGACTGAATGAGATACCTCGTTTGTTGGTAGCTTCAAGGTTATCGGCTAGGACAGAAACTTCGTCTTTGTCATGAATGGGAAGGTTGTTCCACCCGGACAATTTTTCTGGCTGGAAGGACGGGAACATATCAATAAAACATTTTTTGTGATAATACATTAGACCCTTGGCACCTTGTCCATCAGGCTTGGTTGATACACGGACCTGACACAAGACACCAAAAACATTTTACTGAGAAGGCTTCATCCAGATTTTTAGCCGCCAATCAAAAAATCCATAATGAGACAAACAAAATGAAATATTTCCTTAAAACGGAAATGATTTGGATGAACAACGTGAGAAGATTTAGAATCTTTGGGACGACGTTCAGGTTTAAATGATTATCGACTTTATCATTTTCGATATTTGTAGTGCAAATATCAGAACACAGATGAGATGCTGTGTAAAGAAAGAAATTGGACGATTTTACTGAACAAAAGAGAAAAACATTTCAGGGGAATGGGAGAAAGCCAACCGTTCCCTTGATAATCTTATCATTGCATTTCCTGCAAGCAGCCCTAGAACTTGGGGAGATCTCAATTGCAGATTCCTTCTCAGCGACCGCAGTTCTTTCTTGGTCTCCTCCCTCCACATACGTCCTTATCTTCTGTTGATCCTCCCACCGCAGCAAGTCAACACCTTCAACATCCTCAATGCTGGAAGACACGAAGCTCTTATCTATCAGTATCAGTGAAATATGAACCCTTCTTTGGTCACACCGGTTAAACATTATATGGAAGTTTGGGAAGTAGTAATCAAGAAAAGCTAAGGATTAGATCATGTCAATAACAGACTCAAAAAGAAATAGTAGCTTAGATGCATACGATTTGATCTGGTTTGCTTTCTTGAAGATGCAACTGGCATGATTCCACAACTGATTCAGGAGAAGATGTGTTTAGTACAACAAAAAAAACAAAGAGAATGAATAATTTCTGTCTAAATATTTACGAACGGACATTAAATAACTATAACCTGAATGCAAATGGCATAATGTCATGGACAAATCATTGATTTTTTTCAGCAGTTGAAAGTGATCAATTGTTCTAATGATAGAAATAAGATATTAGGGTATGAAACCATACTGCAGCCGAATAAAACAACAGCAGAAACCTTCCGTCATATCCTTTGATGTTGACAAATTTTCATCTTATATATGTTATCTTTGAACTCAAGAACATTAACGTACCAACTATTTATTGTCTGTACAACGTATAATAGTCTTCTGGAAGAAAATCCAAGTGAAAATCAGGCCAAAAAAAGTTGTTTTTTCGAGTTCATCCTACATGAGAAAAGTAAGAACGCCTAAAATGAGCCAACGTTCGAAAAAAAACTTCAAGATTAATGCATCAAATCACCACAAAAAAATGCATTAGAATTCCTAAAGTTACCAAGGTTTAGTCTATGAACCAGTAGAGAATTTAGCGGGTCTATTTGACACAGTCTAGGAATGTTGAGATGAAAATGTGCAAAACATGTCAAAATTTAGGCATAACAAATTACTACTCCGGAAAATAAACGTTATAATTTGTGAAGCACTATCAAGCAGTTTATCACTATTTTCTCATCTTTATTAAAAATCATATTTGGAGATCTTTTTCGACAGAGAACGAAATACTTTAGATGATGTAATTTTTTTTGCTCAAAGATGACGAAAATTATGTGGCCATTAAAAAATCAGAATTTTTATTCGTGATTAATGTTTGATGATAAAAATGTTCTTTGTAGTGACTTTTCGTGGCTACCTGAGCGGTAGTAAGACAATGTATATATATATTTTGAATAAGGTTGATATCTAAATAAAGAGTCAACGCAATCAAATGGCATTTCCTTTAGAATATTGCTTTCATTATTACAAAAACATCTACACCCATCCAATTGTGGAAAATGCAACTGATATTTGTTCTATGATCTTTCCTTGAATTTATTATGGGAGCGATTATGAACTTTTCGTACTCCAATTTCGTCGATATAATCATTTGATCAATTTAAAAAGGACAAAAAACAATTACATGCTTCTTCCGTACGCTGAGCTATTAGCTCCTCTGGCAAATCATGATGTGTGCACGCTGGCCACAGCGGGGTATACACGAGAAGGACAATGGACGGCTAGGGCCCCAAACAATTCATTAATGACGAGAGTCGTTGAGATTCCCGGATATTCGTGCACGGTCATTTAAAAAGAGGAGCTGGATAATTTGAGGTCCCTCCATCATTTAGTACTACTTCCATTTATTTCTCGTGTGGCTGCTTCTATTGCCGTATTGTAGACTCAATTCCATGAAATAAAGAGGTATCGGTTACGTGGTTTACATTCATTGTTGAATATCATTTCACGAAACAAAGAACCAAAGAAAGCGGCCAAGAGAGAAAGAAAAACCAGAAAAATCCCAGGAAGTCTCGAACGTAAGATTCCTGAAAAAATCGAATATTACGAAATACGGCTGCTCGAAATGCATAACCTACATTTCGTAGGCCACACGGACAAAATCTCGAACAGGCACCACGGATGGAATCTCGAAACGGAGAAAATCGCCAAGACAAGAGCAGGAGCTTTAAACTCAACAGACCGCGCAGACTAGACGAGGCCACCGCCACAGCGACAAGCAACACCGCTGCGCGGAAATCAGGGACGGGCCTTCCGTAAACCAAAGCGGCAAATCCCCAACCGAATGCCAGAAGACGCGGAAGAAGAAGGTAACGGGAGAGAGGGAGAGAGGGAGAGAGGGAGAGAGGAAGCGCTCAAGGAAGAGGGATCAACGTCGCTGTTTACCGGCATGAAGCCGTCGAACTGGACGGCCTGGACCATCTTCCCCAGCCGCAGCGCATCCTTCACTATGGCGCTCTTGCAGGACTTGCAGGACGCCCTCGACGACTTCGCGTACTCCGCCTTCCATGGCTTCGCCGGCGTCCCCATCTCCCCTCCCCCACTCCGAGAGCTCCTCCCTCTCCACTCCCAAACTCTGGAACGTTCGCTCCTTTCCCGCTCAGTGAGAAGAAATACGCTGGGGGCAATTACGTGGCGCAAATAAAAGCAACCCGAGCCGTTACATATTTACCAAAAATGTTTAGTGAAGAAAAATATTTTCAAAATGTATATTAATATCGTGTTCGTTCTAGCCGAGCCACTGCTCGGCGCGGTGGTCGCCGGCGCCGCCGACGGAGCGGCGGATGCTTATCTTGACGTGGGAGTATTTCTCCTGGAGGAACTCGAAAGCCGTCATGTCCAGCTTGCCGGAGACCGTCTTCCCCTGCTTCCTCCGGATGTGCTGCTCCCTAATGGAGGCCCAGAGCTTCTCGACGGCGTCCCTCTGCCGCGAGGTGAATCTGTGGATGTTGTCGAAGGCGTGTTTCGCCAAGATGTCGATCACAGTCTGAGCCCTGGCGTGGCGGAGAGAGGAGGAAGGGGGAGGTCAGTGGCGGCGGGAGGACGAAGAAGAGCGAGAGAAATACCGAGAGAGAAGTGGCATCAACCAGGGGATCTTGTATCGCTGGGCGGCGATCTCCAGGCAGCGGATCAGGGCTTCCCTCTGCGACTTCAGGAACTTCTTCCGGCGTTCTTCTTCCTCTTCTTCTTCGTGTCCCTTCCGTTTCGAAGCGACAATGTCTTTTCGATCCCTTGCTCTGCCGTCTTTTCTGGAATCGTTGGAGAGCAACGCGTCTAAGCCGAAGGGATCGGCGTTTTCTTCATTAGGGTTGGTTCCCTCTGCTTGCGCGGTGGTGTCTCCTCCATCTTCGCCGTCTGCTTCCACGGCGTCTGCCGAAGGTGCCGCTTCCTCAATGTCGTCGTCCTCAGTGGATGATGGGAGACTAGATATCGCCTCCTTGATCTTCCCAGCCGCCTTCGAGAACTAGATGCATTCATCACCATTTCCAATTCAAAAAATCAGCAATTCGATAATGCATTCTCAAACTCGTGAGAAGAATGAAGAATTGCAGTGCCTGAAGACGATTCAGTACAAGAAAACTTCCATCGAAAAGCAATCGTGCAGTATATCAACTTGAATATCTGAGGAAGCAGGGGAGGGGAAGAAATGCATTTCGTACCACAAAGCTATCGTCTGTGTACAGGTCATTTGCAATAACTGCCCTGATGTTCCATGTAATCAACTGATCCTTCTGCCGCTCGGCGAAAAACTGCAACAGGATGGGACAAGACAGTGATCAGAGCTTTGAGTTCAGAAATCACGTTCGAAGGCTGCACTGAGGCAGATCAATATTGGCTGATTAGAACACGGCCATCTCAAGAAAAAAAGCTAAAAATCAAGGCAGCAATTCACCTCAGCAACACCTTGAGCTGCGCAAAATAGTGCCTGATAATCAGCTCTCAGAGAGGAATCGATGCAAGCTGAAGGAGAAGACATGGCAGCCTCAAGTATGGCAAAGAATTGATCACTGGTCCCAGGCTTGACACTTCCTGCCTGAATCAGCTGCAGGGCGAGCTTCGATGCCTTGCCGAACTTTGATGGATTCTTTATATGCGATGCTATTTTCTTCATAGCTTCTATGACTTGTGCTTCAGTTGCATCGGTGGTTGTCTTGAACCTTAGACGCTTCTGGGGTGCCACTGTGTAACAAGATGCCAGGATATGAGGAAACACAGTCACCCAAGTAAACACAAAGAACTTCTCATATTGACCGACTGCCAGAAATCTCAGGCAAAAGTTCATTCAATTGAGACAGTTTTCTACTTAGCTTCGGTTGGTCACCGAGACCAATATTTTTACACCATAAAACAATAAATGATCAGCACAATAAAGGGCCCTCTTGAACCATGAGAGACGATCAACAAACCGAATCCCAGCCAGACCCAAATATATCAGCAGATTGGAGAAGATTTCTGCCAGAAGACCTTAGGTATGGGGATGAAGGAGACACGGCATCAATTACAACGCAAGTCATGCAAGAGTATTTCAATCAAGACATTTGCATTAATTCATCGGTATGGATTTGATATAATTCAGTTCTTCCATGTCTGAACATCTTCCGGACCAATGTGTAATGAAAAAAAATCAACTGTGATGTTTTGATCTTAGCTATAAACGCTGAAGGAATTAGCTGGAGCTGGGGGATGGTAGGCATCCAAGTTGATCCCTATGTGGCTCTCACATTGGTCTCTTATTTGAGGATTTTCTCTTATGAATGAGCAGCAGAAGAATATGTTTTCTCAATCTATATTTAATCAGATGGATTCCATGTATATCTCAATTATGCGCCTGCCAAATTTTATCAATTGAGAGGATCTATATTTTATTTTCCTGATCTAATTATAATTAAAATAAATCTAATTCTTGTTTTAGGGTTTAAACCACCATGATCATAGATCAACTAAGATAGCATTAAGAACATGCGTTAGAAAAGTCTAACGAACCTGAGGAAATAAGGCAAGAGAAGTTAATGTGCCAAAGACACAGCAGGAATTACTTCCTCACACGACCAATACGAGTGAAGAAGAAGAGATCAGCAGATGGCTTGAGGAAAAGATGCTCACATTAACATCTGTTGCGACGACGAGTAGGGAACTGAAAAGAAAGCACAGATAGAGAAGCAACCGAGAAACCTGAGATAGATCGGGATTACAGAATGCATTTCTGGCCACACCTATGGTCTCAACACGTAAAAATCCTCCGTCGAAACCTTCCCAACCAGTGAAACCCTACCTGGCCTCGCTGCAGCATATAAAAGTTTTCCCCATGAAGACACGAGCCAAAGCGGAATCAGGAAAACACAAAATTCAGATGAGCGGAAGAATTTCGAAATGAAACGCAAGGAGGCAAAGGCGCACCCTCGAGGGGCGATTCCGCGGGCTTGTCTCGCTTCAGCGCGCTCTTGAGAGCAGGGGCAGGGGCGGGAGCGGGAGCTGAAGAAGAATCCCTCCCGGAGGATGCAACTTTTGGCTGCTCCGGTGGAACTGGAGCAGCAGATGGTGGGGGAAGCCCCACGAAAAGATCGTCCGCCATTCTGAAGGGACACCTCGATCACACGAGGAATTCCTGCGCCAGTCTTCGGGAGAGTTCATCTCCATTTCCCCCCTTCTTTTCTTCACTTTATTGGATAGATCATTGTACCCTACGCATAATGGGCTTTGGGCATTTTTGCAATTTATCACGGGCTTCAATTATCGATTAGATACCCAATAAATTAAATTATTTCCATTTTTCCCCAAACCATAGAATTTGCATTTTTACTCTGAGACTTCCTATCAATGGTTTTAGGCCCCGACCGGCCCGGGGACGCCTTGGAGTCAATTAACTATATTCTCAAAATACAATTCTGACGGTGGCGTCAGAAACATTATCCATTAAATAAGGGCCATAGTGTAAAACTCCTTCTTGATTTCTTCCATCTCTGAGCTCGAGCGTCCTCTGTGAACGCGCTGTCGGCGCCGGCGCCGTCGAACGTCTGCCGTCAGCTTTCGCCGACGAACCTGCGGACATCTTCTGCAACTCAGGTATGCCGTGGGCTCTACCTCTCCTCTCTGATCCTCTCATGCGCGTCGTTTCGCCTAAGGAAATGGCAGGGGAACCCGGAGAGCGGCTGAGAGGAGGGTGAGCGAAGCGAGGGGGGGTGATGGTAGGGTCTGTGCATCTGTCTGTCACGCCATTTGACAGATCATTACTCCAATCTTCCTCTACTAATGGGGCATATGAGAAACGAAATTCTGTCTGGTTTCCCATTGTGTAGTCTATTTCGTTCTGTCCCTCTCTCTATTTCGGATCTACGCGCTGGTTTTGCACCTTTTCGAATTTATTTCTTCAAGGTTAAAATATTTGTTTCATCTTTTTTTTCTGTCATGTGCAGGAAGCCGTTCAGTTCGAACTGATTTTCACAGGATCATAATCAGAAGAGAGGTAAATACAAGAGCTCTCTCTTAGGATCGGAGATTCTTTGTACCGTCAGACATTTTTTCAGAGCATATCCTTCTTTGTTGTGAATGTATCCTCTGTTCAGTTCCAGATCTACACGCGTAATGTTTAATTTACAGTGAATTCTGGAAGAAAAAAAATGCTGTTAGTCTTTGCCCCGCACCTGGTTGCAGAAGATGGATAGATTCACTCTGTGATCATGGCATGAAGCCCTCTGGAGCTCGTCTAATGAAGGCATCAGCAATCTATCTGACTGAAAAGGAGAAAAAAAAAACAGACATGGTCTAAATTTTGTCGTGACAACTATTATATGAATCATAATAAGCAAATTTCTCAGAGTTATTCACTTCCCTGATGGGGAGAGGGAATTCTATCTTCTTCTTTTTTCAACTTCTGCATATGCGTGGTTTATCATTGAGTCTAGTTAAATGAAACTGTCTTCTTGATGTAAAATTAATTTTTATATTTTTTGATATTTTCATATCATAATCTTTGTGGTAATCTTAATGAAAGCTAACCTTATATCCTATGAAAAAGCCGCCCCCCTCAAAATGATACGGGGCGTTTACTGTCATCGGATTCTGTTCACCTAAATATTTCTCAACATTAATGCAACCTATCCTTCAAGATTTGGCGCCGATTAGTCCACCTCGTTTCCTGCATTCTTCTAGTTTCAGATGGGGTTCACGGCCTCTGATTCAGTAAACAATTGGCCATAGAAGAGATGCTACATATTTTTTATGTGGAAACAGGAGGATCAGCAACTATTGTTCTGCTGAATTGAATGCTTTTGACGCAATGTTACAGATTTTATTTTTGTGAAAACAGAGGACATCGGCAATTATCATATAATTCTCTAATAATCTAATTTTCGAGTTTTCTATATTCCGAATTCCTCACAGAGTTCAGAAACAATGATGTTTGGCTCTCGTTTCCATGTATGAACAAAGCATTCTCACTTGGTCTTCTATTTTGGTTTGCTTCTCCTCTTGGTCTTCTGATCTTTCATTTCGGGGCGGAGTGGATAGAACTCCCATTCCAATGATCTAGTGGTTGACTTCTTTTATTCTCGTTTTCGTGTCTCAATAAAGCACTTTCACAGTTCCTTCATATTCTCAGTTCAGTTTTCGCTGTGTGATGATCTTTATTTCTCATCCTCGGCATCTCTTGCTCTCATCTTGGTGGGTTCATCAGTGGATCGACGTATCCCCAAGCAGACGAACAGCTGAGGCGGCCCAAGAAGGTGGAAGGACTCGCAAAAAGAGGGGATGAACTCAAGGAGGTTCGGGTCTGTTCATTTTAATGACGTCATCAACTGGTGTCCGCTTAGCTTAGTTCAACCATCATGGGTCTTCCTCGCCTCCTCTGCAGAGACCATCGACTCAACAGATCCGCTCTGTTTGATGGCATTGAGGAGGGCGGAATCAGAGCCTCCTCATCCTTCGCCTCCCGTGAGATTGACGATCACGACAATGACAAAGCCCTCAACAGCTTGCATGACAGAGTAAACATACTAAAAAGGGTGAATATCCTCGTCTCTCTTTGGCTTGATGTTTGCTTCTAGAGCTTGGAATCCTTCCATCAATTGCTATTTCACGGGGTTCTTCACTCTCTTTCAGTTGACTGGCGACATACATGAGGAGGCTGAGAGCCACAACCGCATCCTCGATCGAATGGTAGATCATCTCTCTCTCTCTCTCTCTCTCTCTCTCTCTCTCTCTCTCTCGCTAATTTCTTTTTCTGGGTGGGTTCAGGGGAACGCTATGGATGCATCGAGGGGAGCGCTCTCAGGGACCGTGGATCGATTCAAGACGGTAAGCCTGCAGTGAAGGCTCGAGGGGAAGGGAGGGCTGACTTCAATGTCTGAGGCGCTGACTCCCAGTCCGTATTCTCTCCATCGATCGCAGGTGTTCGAGTCTAAATCGGGTCGGAGAATGGTCACCCTTGTCGCATCCTTCCTCGCCCTCTTCCTGCTCATATACTACCTGACCAGATAACCCAGTGACGACGACATGAAACTCCCCTGCCGATCTCTGATGAAGAGAGTTGAACTCCTGATGTGATGATCGTCGATCGTTTGAGAGTCTACTGAAGTTCAAGAAATCAATGTACAGTGGTTATACGATATGTGACTGCAGATCCAAGTTTCTTTATCTCTCTCTCTCTCTCTCTCTCTCTCTCTCTCTCTCTCTCTCTCCCTCCCTCCCTCCACGTATCCATCTGCGTCGGCTGTCAGTGAAACCCCACACTGAGGAGGAGTTGGCGGCGCAGGCTCTGAATCACCGGGAACTCCTGTGAGGCAACGGCCAAGTAGAAAATTCAATCAGACTGAGAACTAGAGAGAGAGAAAAAAGAAGAAGAAGAAGCTTGAGGAGAAGATCCTCGCGCCTCAGCGATGTCGGCGACCGCATCGCCGGTGATCTCGCTGGGGAGACTCCTCGCCACCACGCGAACCCCCCTGAGAAAAAAAAGGAAATTAATCCTCAGTCAGCGAGCTCTCCGGCCCCGCAGCCGCTTACCTGGGATGCACGCATAGCAGCACGTAGCATCTGAGCACGTGGAAGAGCAGCCGAGGGGACAAGTCCCTGTCGGCGCTCAGCACCGTCATCTTCCCCGCCAGATAAACAATCCTTCCGATCAGCCATGGAAATGGAGAGAAATCGAGAGAGAGAGAGAGAGAGAAGAGATGATTTCATCTACCAGCTGGTTCCACGTCTCCATCAACCCTTCGAGCAAGCCGACGTTTGGGTGGCAGATGAAATACCTCCCGAACGGGTCCCGCAGAATGTACTCCAGGATATGCATGGAGATCTGCCCGGAGTAACGTAGCTAAATCATGAGAGACAGAGAGAGACAGAGACAGAGACAGAGACAGAGAGAGAGAGGACGACGTACCACTTGAGAGAGTTCACTCCCCGTTTTCAAGGCGGAGTGGCAGACATTCACCACGTCGTTCTCCGTGGCCCACACGATGATGTCAGGATCTCTTCCCTTTTAGATGAAGTCACCAAACTTCGTGGTCAACATCCCTACCGTGCCATCTAACAAAAGCTCAGAGCGTGTGAGAAGAGGCACCTGGCACAGGATCCCGATGACGGAGAGGGCTATCGCTCGGACGTTCTCCAACACCTCGAGCTCGCTCTTGAAGACGATGATGGGCAGCAAGAAATTCGGGATGCAAGCTGAAAGCAAAATGATGATTTTTCTTTGAAATGGGAGATCTTATGAAGCCATCAAGAAATGGAAGTAGTAGAATATCTACAGGTTTTCGGTGGGCAGAGGAGCTCACAATCGATAAAGTTTCTCCGGATCTCCCTGTTTGCTGCAACGCACTGCGGTTGCGGGAGCTCATCAGCGGAGTAATAGCCGTGGCGAGGTAAGCTGGACGAATCTAGGGGGTCAAACCTGGAAGAGAGTTAGGACGTTTGCCAGGCGCTTCGCGGATCTTATGTTGAGAGCATCGTCGATCATCTTCCCAAAGAACTCCACCACCTCCTTTTTCCAAGAATTCGGGAGGAATTTAAGGAAGGAATCACTCACACCCCATAAAAATGAAAGAGAGAGAGAGAAAGAGAGAGATAGAGAGAGAGACTTGCAGTAAGATAGACATCGTGGAGCAAGAGTAAAACAAGAAAAATCCAGCCTGATGGTAGTCGTCTGGGTTTTCTTCCCATCTCTGGCACGAAGAAGAAACCGCGGGTTAGAAATACCGTCTACTTCGTCCGACATCAAGAAGGAAAGAAGTAGAAAGAAAGACCGAGACAGAAGAACCCCAATAGAGAGAGAGAGAGAGAGAGAGACATCGAGCAGGAAGTTGCCGAGTGCCCTGAGGGCGTTCTCCCTGAGCTCCTCGTCCAAGAACTCCAGGATGACTTCGGAGACCGCCATTGGCCTCTTCATCCATTTCAACTTGTGCTTCTTCCCGCCCTTCTTCCTCAGCTTGGCTTCCGAGAACTCTGCAAGAAACCAGACGGCCGCATCAGCCGGCGAAAGAAGGCAGGAGAAGAGAACAGCGAGAAAAAGACCCTGGTCGATCTTGGATTCGTCGAGAAGGTTCAGAGTTCTCTCCTCCCATGGCTCTTCCTGCCGATCTTGGTCGGCGAAGGACAGCTCGTCTCCGCGCTCCGCCATCTCCTCACGGCGATCGTTTTGCACTGGAACGGAACGCGCCGAGGCCAGCTGGTTAAAATGGAAGTGGGCCGGGCTCGGCGCACGGTTCTTCTCTAGAGAGCAAATGGGTACTACTGGCCCGAAAGTCCCCATACCCAAGAGAAAACCCTGAAATTTGAGCAACAATTTTTAGGCTAATAATAGAAGAGGGCTTGCAATAATAGGGAACAATAAGATCATGATTATAATGATGATGTTAATGAAAACGTTAATGATAATGAGAGAAGACACAAATATATTTCAAAAGAATACAAACAAAAATCATTCGAATTTTACTTGCCCTTTTTCTTTTCAGCAATTTATTCCACATCTATATTGAAATTGTTTCTCAGGCTGATACAATCCATGCTTCCACTATATTGTGTTCCTGCACTTTACGACAATTGAGGATGCTAAAAGGAGTTTATAAGTAGAAAATTTTTAAAATAAAGTTTTCAAATATTTTTTTAAAAAAAATAAGCAAGAAAGATAAGGATCTTCCTAGTGTAAACTTATAGAACCTCACTTATCAGCGAAAACTAAACAAAATAGTTAGTCATATTTTTAAAAAATAATGACCTTGAATAAAACCGTCTATAGCCTAATATCTCTCAGAACATCACTTAAATGGAGATTTCTTGATGCCAACAAAATTAATATCAAGTTAAACTTCTCAACATAATCTTGGAATTTCTTCAAAACTTTTATTACAAAAATACTAGCCATGTTATAAGAAAATAGATATTGTTAAGGTAAAAGATCAATTTAAATGAAAAAAAATCATTTTGTCAACCAAGTGCTAATGCAATAGCTTTTGCATTGGTTTTATCTGTCTTCTTCTATTCACCACTTTGGTCTAAATGTCTTACCATTGTTTTTGCACACCTATGCAATTCATCCTTTCATGTCCTTTATTGAATTCTAGAATGTTAAAAATAAGACTTTTATTAGAAAACACAAAATATTAAAGTTTTTTAAAGTGAAAAATAAAGGGATAAGCCCAAAAGACAAGCATCTTCATTATAGAAACATATGAAACCTCGATTATTAGTGGAGAATAAACAAACCAATATTGTTCAAGTTCTTTTGAATAGAATGGCTCTTAATGAAATAGTTAAACCTCATCTAGTCTAATATCTTTCAAAACATCTCTCGTATATAGATTTATGTACAAAAACAAAAATAATGTCAAGTTAAACATTTCAATAAAATCATGAAATTTCTTTTCAAAAATAATTCATGAAAATATCAGTCATGTTATCAAAAAAATAAATTTTCTTGATGAATTTATGATCTTTTTATTCAGAATCATTCATTAATTAATAATGCTCTAAGAATCACATTAATAGTATTTTTTTTTGATAATCGAGTAATTCTACTGACTTAATGATTTTACCAATATCCTACAAGAGAATTGTAATTTAAATAGATAAAAAATATATTTTTTGTGTTTTATGATATTCAAATCTTCACTAGTTGCTTGACTATGTAAGAGAGGGTTAGTGAATTACTCGTATACCACTTTTCGCCCTATGTCTATCTAGACTTAGGTGATGTGAAAGGAATGTGGTGCACACTTGTTATGTGTGGGTTCTTAACCACTCAAGTCCATGGCTTGTGACTCCACTAACTATGCCTTTGTGTGTAGTGCCCTTAGTTCATTTACCGGGCCCCTAATTGGCCAACTACTCTCCCCCTTTTTTCATATTTTCCTTTATTTCATCTCGAAAATATGAATCTAAAAATTATATAAATTCACATAAAATTACATAATTAGCTTACATTTCACATGTTACATAAAAATATATTTATACTTCTTTTGTAAATATATATATTAAACTATTATTAACTCATAATAATAACCACTTATTAGTGTGCTTGTGTAATTTAGGTGAATAAAATTTTAAGTTGAAGTAAGATTTACAAAACTCATATCTGAATCTTGAAAGTAAAATGCATGTAGACAGCATGTGTTGGCATGGAGTAACACATCACACCGCACACACAGATATGTTAGCATAAAATAGACGCTTAGACACTTGTCCCATGATTCTTAGAGTCTACTCACACAAGGTGACACAACAATGACAAAACATGGGACAATGTGCACAGAAACTACACGAGCAACAGGTTGTAACACTAAATCAGGCGACATGATCACCACCAACACTACCTACTCGTGGTTGTCCCAAGATGTAAGATAACTCTCAGGTGAATAGACCCAGTCTCCATATTGTGTACTTAACATGTTTCTTGATGCACGCATTTCCGCGACAGTAGAGTCACTCACGAACGAACCGTTGTACTAGCGTCAGCGTACTAATGGTTGACTGATTGATTGAATGACTCTGCCGTCACAAGCTGGCGCCGCCGGTCCCCGCCGCCGCTTGCCGGGGCGGCGCAACCCACCATCTGAGATCGCGCCGCCCCTTCCGCCTCATATCGGATGCCCTGAAATCCTGCGCCGAGGAGGAGCTCCTCGCCGACGGAGAGCAGATCCACTGCCACCTGCTGAAGTCGGGGCACCTCCATGGAACCTCCCTCTTCAACCACCTACTCAAGTTGTACGCGAAGGTTCTCCCCCCACAGTCCGCCCTCGAACTGTTAAACGAAATGCCGCACAGGAACATCATCTCGTGGAACACGGTGATCTCCGGCCTCGCCGGCCGCTGCTCCGGAGGCGGCGGCGGCGCCGCCCCCTGCTTCTCCATCCTCAGAAAGATGATGATGGAAATGGCGAGACCCGATCACGTAACCTTCTTGGGTGTCCTCCGTTATTGCGCCCAATGGGACCGCGCCAGCCATGGCGAGCAAGTCCACTGCCTCATCGTGAAGCTCGGCTACTCTTCCCAGAAACTCCTCTCGAGCGCCATGGTGGATATGTACGCCAAGCTCGGGCTGACCGGTCACGCTCGTTCTCTGTTCGATGAAATGCCCATCCGAGACCTGGTCTCCTGGAACGTGATGATCTCCTGCTACGCTCTGAACCGCCTCTGCGGAGAAGCATTCCAAATCTTCCAGCTGATGAGATCAGAAGGGCTGCGAGGAGATCTGTATACCTTCAGCGGCTTGCTGAACGCCTCCAGTTCATCGGGATGCCTCGAGCTGGGCGAGCAGGTCCACGGCCTCGTCGCCAAGACGTCGCCTTCCTCCGACGCCGTGCTCCGCGGCGCCGTCGTCGACATGTACGCCAAGTGCGGGGACATGGCCGCCGCCCTTAAGTCCCTCCACTCGGCGGACGATGAGAGCTTGGTGGCGTGGAACTCGATCATCGCCGGCAGCGGCGGCGCCACCGGCGTGAAGTTTCTCAGGCTGATGCTCCGGCGGGCGGTGGACCCAGATGAGGTGACTCTCTCCAGCCTTCTCAGCTCCAGCGGTGGATCAGCCAGGGCCAGCGAGGTCCTGCAACTCCACAGCCAAATGGTGAAGCGCCGGTTAGAATTTTTCCTCTCCACCGGCAACGCCCTCATCGGGGCATACGCCAAGTGCGGCCGCATCGACGACGCCTTTCTCGCCTTTTCTCTGATACCCATCTCCGATCTGATATCCTGGACAACGATCATCTCCGCCTGCGCCCTCCACGGCCGCGGCAGAGAAGCCCTGCAAATTTTCGAGAAGATGCTGATGACAGGAGTGAGACCCGACTGGCTCGTGTTCCTGGAGGTCCTCTCTGCCTGCTCTCACTCCGGGCTGGTAGAGGAAGGTCTCTGCTTCTTCGTTTCCATGGTGAAGGAGCATCAGATAGAGCTGAGGTCTGAGCATTACACTTGCCTGGTCGATCTTCTCGGCAGGGCCGGCCTTCTCCATGACGCTGGTCGTCTCCTGAGTAGCGTACTCTCCGCAGACAATGCTGCCAGCCATCTGGGGGCCTTCCTCGGCGCCTGCAGGCAACACGGCAACTCGAGGTTGGCGGAGAGGGCGGCTGGCTTGCTCCTCAGGCTGAGATCAGATGATCCTGTGGATTACTTGGCCATGGGTAGCATCTACGCTGCACGAGGATGTTGGGATGGTGCAGAGACAGCGAGGAAAATGATGAGCATATGTGGAAAGAAATCTCCCGGTCGAAGCTGGGTGGAGTAGATCACATCACAGAAGAGAAAGAAGGTTACTTATCTCCCAGCAGGCTCCCATGGTGCTGAGGCCTTGGTGGAGAGTGTTTCCTCTGCTTATAATTATGTCTGTTTCTTGATTCTTGCTCTCTGGATGTCACCTGGCTTTCAAGTCAACGCGGTTTGCTTTCACGCCGTAATGTCCTCCATATCAAATTTGGGCCTCTCCTAGGTTAGGGATACTTCTATTTGGATTTTAATTATGTCACATGAAATGATTAGATTTTTGCCTTATTCTCTTATGATTTTCTATTTTTATGCTCAATTCAGAAGTCAACGTCAATAGAAAGCCGGCTATTTCCAAACAAAGTGATGGACTATGTGGTTCAGTTTCCATATATGCTAACAGGTGTTGAGGTATTCACAAGTCTCTGCTTCCACTGCACCAAGTTATTAGCTTTATGTCCAGTTCTTACGCTTCTTGGTTGCTTTGTTGGATTCAGATGACGGCCAACGTCTGCAAATATCCGAGCCTGGAGGAAAGAGAAGTCTCCCATTTTTTTTATATAATTATATCAGTGGCTTACATCATTGCACATCTCTGCTTCTGTTCTAAGAGATAACCAGTTTGGCCAGTTTTAGGTTGAAGTCAGCGGCAACTGGGGGTTGGAACTGGTTCAAGGGTAGTACATCTTTGAGTGATAGAAGTCAATCCTCTTCTCTCATCTGAGGAGAGAAAATGGACAAAGCCTTGTGTTCTTTATGTTTTCCAGCAGGAATTAATAGATAAAATAGGAAAAAAAAAAGGGCTTCTCTGTATATTTCGATGGGAATCCTTCTTGATGGCAAAGAACCTACATGTATATTGATCATGTTTCCTTTTTCGCCCGGGAGAGACTTCCATCAAAGACGAGGAGAAAGTGCAAGCTATGAAAATCATCCAATATATTGATCAAAGACATCGGTACCCACCCTCTCCCCCCCCTACACCCTCCAGAAGAAGCCAAACACGTATTATGTACAGAAAGAATGGCTGACTCAAGCGACACTGCTATTTACAGAGGCTATACGGGGGAAAGAAGAAAAGGGAGCCATCTAATTCACATAATTCCCAACATATTCTGTCAACCCTGTGAACATAAGGACTTCACCTGTACAAGAAGACGCCATCCATGGAGAGATAAAGACCCACTATCCTTTGACCATCGTAGAGACTGCAATGCCAGAATTCAAGGATTCTATATTCACAGAAGCATATTTGTTGGCGGTCAACCCACCACTTCTTTTCCAAGTCACTAGACCGTACTGGTGCTACCCGTTATAGGTCTGATTGATGACCATTAACTGCATGAACACAAATGTGACTGTTCAATGGAATGAATCGCCTCCCAAAGAAGACATAAAGACAAACCGAATCGGTGTATATTCTCAGTAGAGACTTTGAAGCATCATGCAGTGTCTGATAAGAATGGGTCCTCCATGAGGTGCGTAAGTCCACCATTAGGAGACAATCATCAAAATGAATTGGGAAATATTTATTACTTATGAAAGCACAAATTATATGGTGAGGCTACGTACGATAAAGGAAGTGGGTTTTCCATGCAAACCTGGTCACAGATTGGGCAGGTAGCACTTCTCTCCATCCATTCAAATATGCAAGAAAGATGAAAATGATGCTGGCATTTCGGAATAATACGCGGGTTATCTGCATCATATTCTGTCAGGGAAACAATACAAAGTATATGTCAAATTCATTTTTAAGGACAGTAGAAAGGATCTATTAATCTAAGCCAGATGGTGATGGAGAAGTAAGGCCATCTCCTTGACCTTTTAGCTTCTCATATTAATTACTCTGATATGACGATGACCAGAAAGAACACTCAGACTAATGGGCCAAGAGGTTTAAGCAAGATGATTGTAAATCATCTTCTCAAAAGAAAAAGAAAATTTTGAAGTACAGGTATTGCAGAATTTTAAATCTGCTCGAGCATTCAATAAAACCGTCACAGAAGTCGTTCTTTCGAGTATTTATACCTTCAAGGCACGTAGGGCAGACATCTTCCTCCTCCGTTGCAGAAGTATTATAAATATTCAATATTGAGGATTTGTCTTCAGCAGCTTTAGGGTAACATGTCTTGTTCAGACTGTCGGACACTTTCAGATCCTTGAACCCTTCAAAAGTGCTTTCACGCACAGTTTCTCCCAGAGGCTGATATCCACTCAACAGAACTGGGCCAGATTTGTTACCGCTTGTTTCTAAACCTCGGGATAAAGTCTCAGAGCTATCCGAACCCATGGAAAAAGGTAATGGTGAAGGAGGTGCTCTAAAATTATCAGGAATTGCGGTTTCCAAGTTTTGAATGACAAGCAGTCCAGTGGGTAGCACAGATACTGTACCACGGGCTGTAGGCAAGGATCCATGCTCTGATGCTTCAGGACACTGCAAGATGAATCCATTCATAAAAATTACATTGAACATTCAAAAAGTAGTTCCAAAGACTTTCTGGTATATTGGATACAGAGAACGGTACAACAGTTCAACACTGTCAATATCCTAGCCTTATCCAAATTTTCAGATGAATTAAGAGAAATCCCAAAAATGGAATCATCAATTGCCATTTATAGAACCCACCCATGATACCTTTCAAGGAAAAAAAAAAAATTGAATATCAAAACTGTCTATTAGCCACCATGACACATGCAACAGATAACGCGGCTAAAAACGAGATGAAAAATACAGTAGTGGAAGGTATATCACAGATGCAAGTGACAATTTTAAGGAAATAAGGACTCATTCAATACTTGTAACATGGATATCCTGTTTTGAACATTATAACGCTCATGTAAAGGTCACCGTAAATCAAAGTATTACATCTTCTGGAGGAAAATGGATTGTGAAAAAAGGGGACGCAATCAACACGAGGTTCAATTCATTAAGGTAAAACTTTGTTGACTCAATAAGAAACCCAATTTAAAGGTCAAAAACTCATGACTATGTTGCATTACCAAACGAAAATTTTAGATCATAAATAAATATAAATAGAAATAAAATAAGTTTCTAAGAAACAGCGTAAGATTGTCATGAAACGACAAGAAAACTATCAAGACAACGTTTGATCTCTCAGGCTCCGACTTTCCAAATGAGCAAGGCTGTGGAGACCACACCCTCGTATCTCTATGCACATCGTTCAAGAGAGGCCTTTCAACCTGTGCTGGGCAGGTTAGTTTTCGGTGGCTTATACCAATCGATGGCCAGTCATTATGAAGTGCCATCTGTGACCATCTAAAAAAATATTTTCGAACCGGAAAACAACGGGGAAAAAGTGAGAGGGAAGTCTGTTTTGTTTTGGTGTACTTTACTTCAGTGTTAACCGAGTATATACATATATTTGAATTTAGTTGGTATTCATGTCTTCAACTTCGACTTGACTCCAGAGTTGAAAAGTGTAGCCGCTCCGGATGCCACAGAGCATAATCCATTCCTTATTTGTGGCGAGAATTATGTATAGATATCCGCTTCTGTTTTAGATGCCTATTTTAAGAATTTTTATTGCAGTAATTGGTCTGAGTGAAGTAGGTTTTCCTCATAGAGGTTCCCTACACGAATCAAGCCTCTTCATTATACACCGCTCCCTGACAAATAATGACGAAAGTAACCTGACAGCATAATCTAAGAAAATGAAATAATGATCAAACAATACGTATTCACGTACTGTTATTGGGGATTGATCAATCAATACCCCAAAGGAAATGTGGTACGAGCCCACAGAAAATCGATATCAAATAGTCATGAGAGAGAAGTGTGACCAAGACAGAAACGAGCATACCCAACGAGATAAATAGAAAGCAATAGCATGTCGCTCAGTCATGAGTAAGAACACCAAAACCACACGTTATCTATCTGCTGCTAAAATCTGAATGCAGTGAAACGAGTGATAAACAAGAGTGGAACACAACTAGTGAAAAAACTTATCCGAGAAAGACAAGTTTTACTTACGTAAGTGTAAATTGATGTCCTCCTCAACTCGGGCCTCGATGAAGAGCAACAGCCACCCATTCCTCTATATTTGACTCATTCAAATCTCCAATAGGAAATGAGATATAGGATAGAGGCTCAAGACATCTGAATGATAGGGAGCAACAGTAGAAATATGCAATTTCAGAAGACGACAAGGAAACGCCACGTTTAGGTATGTTAATTAGCTCAATTGCCACAGATACATACACGATTCAGATAATATATATTTCCAATTTTGTATATTTAAAAATACTTAAATTAATGAGGATTAGCCGATTAGAAACATCACACGAGAAAAGCAGCCGGCTTTTAAAGAAAATATGTCACAAATCGATATCACCATTTGGAGTTGTTTCTGTAAAGGATCCAGCAGTTTCTTGTTGTATGAATCTCATAGGATCATCCTCATAAATTTTAAGCATCCTCAAACATGTCTCAGGAGTGTCGAATATCAAATATAACGAAGGAACGCGTTCTATGCCAGGAAGATAAAAGATGTTAAAAACGCCAATGATGCGCTACCGTCACCGCCTTCCTCGGAACGGCAATTCTGCAGATTCCGACGGTGAATCCGATGCCGAATTACGCACCTAGAGTGCAATTCGATTCCAAAACGATTGAACGAATTAGGAAAAAGCATCATCAAACGAAAGGACGGAAGAATTCACCCTCCGGAAGACCGCCATCAACTTCCCGGGATCGAGGGGAATATACGACCGGAGAAGAAGCGAATTCCTCGAGACTCGGAAGGCGGGAACAGGACGAGAACAGGACCCGAGAGATATCCTCCCTCTTCTCCCTGCGTCTGTCGCGAGAGAAGAGGAATTGGAGTCGGTTGACGGAAGAGGCAGCTGACCCAGGCCGTTTATACGCCACCACATAACTTAGAAAAAAAAAAATACATACATATCCCCACGAATTAGTAAATTTTATAGTAGTCGAAAAAAGATATCCATACAAAAAATATTATATTTTCCCCCTACTACTATGGTTCCTTTATTCATTTATAAATTATTTAATTTAATTATGGATTTCATAAACTCAGTATGCGGGGTGAGTCAACTCAATTCAATTAGGGATATTCATAATTTTATTAAACGACACAATACTAAAATACCATACATTTTTTTTTAATTATCCGTTTTATTTAATAGTTTTCTTTCTTGGGCAACGTGTCTCTCTGGCGAGTGGTCACATGTCAGCGATCTGAACCAGAATCCGTTTGGAAATAGCCACGGAAGTGTTCCCCCGCGGAATCCGGATTTTGTTTGTACATAACTACTACTTTACCCCTGACTGATTGATCCAGACACGTAGAATTTGACGAAATGATTGAGGGTATAACAGGTAACATACGACCACGATGCACGAAGGTAGGGCCTAAAGAATTCAACGACCCGGGACCGTACTCTTAAGGACATGATTATCCCTAATCCATCTCACTTTTCGCGTTCCCTCGACAGCAGTGATGGAGTCTGCCGCGGAAGTTTTAGTGATTAACCTGAAGATGCGGTACAACGCACACGAGACTGCGTGTTGCAGTAGCTATCCACGTGGCTTTGGCGTCATCCGTTTGGCTTCTTCGATTGACTTCGGCCAGATCTGCACTAAAAAAAAACGGCCCAAAGGCACACACCACCCTCACGTGGCTCCCTCTGAAATACCCAAAAAACCCAAACTACCCCTACTCGGATGAGGTAAGCAGAAGGGTGTCGACTATACTAAATGAGGCTTTTATGGGTATTTTGAAATGGTGGGACCCGAGGGTGGACAAAGGTGGAGATCTCCTTCGTCCTCGCCAGCCGCAACGGCTCTTTTTGCCTTCTCCCGAGGGTCGGAGATTCTGAAAGCTCGGAGAACGACGGCGGAAGCCGTCAACCAGGGGGAGAAGCAGAGCGGACGGCGGCGGCGGCGGCAAAACGGGGACTGTTACCAGGGGGAGATTCCAATGGTCGCACAGTGGAAGCAGCTGTGCAGCTTGGGAGGTGAAGTGAAGCTGATAATGGAGGTTTAGGGTTTTCCGCTTCCTCTGTCTCCTTCCTTCCAGGTGGTGGTGGTGGTGGTAGGGCGGTTGCGTTCAGCTTTGTGGCTCAGAGTTCCGGGTTCTACTCCGGCAGTAGAGTTTCGCCGGTGTCTTTGGCTTTTCCGGGTTCTGTGGAGCTCAGATCTTCGGCGCCTTCCGATTCGAAGGTTCTGAGATTTGAGACCGAACTTCGATCAGCAGATCTGATTATGCGATGTGTGAGTTGTTCCGTGTTGTTGTCTGAGTACAAAATGGTAGCCAGGGGAATTTTTTTCGGCGACTGAGCTCCGGGAATGCAAATGGGTCCATGATTTCTAGGTTTCTCTCAGATCCTGCATCTTCAAGCTCGGATCCGAGCTCTTCCTCCTGTGGACTACTCAGATGAATCCCTTAGGGGGCGGCTTCACGAGATGCACGAGACATCCGTCTCAGTTTTTCACTGGTTTCTGTTCTTCTTGTCTGCTCGAGAGACTGTCCGCCATTGACGCTGCAGGTAGGAGTCCGAAATGCCCTGCAGAGGTGTTCGTCGCCCCTCCATCTCTCTCAGATCGCCACAGAATCCCTCACGAAGACTGCGAAAGAAGGACTCTGCTTGCTCTCTTCCGCCTCGACGATGACGCTGGTCCTAATCAAGCACCCATCTTGGAGAACGATCCCGGAGCTGATCATTCAGTCGGAGCTCAGCCGTCGATGTGCCAGGAATCTGAACCAAGGCTTCCACCGAGGTTTGGTGGTGATACCAGTGTTTCTGGTTTGAAGCCGAGGAGCGTATCCTTCTGGTTGGGCTCAGTGTTCTCGAAGAACACCCAAATATGGCGCAAGAAAGGATCGTCCCACCGGAGGTGGCAGAACGGGAACGTGGAAGAAGAATGGCCGGAACTTGAGCAGAGATCTCGCCATTCCTGCGACTGGAAGCTCTCCTACGATCCAAGTAAGGCGGCGTGGGAGGACCCGAGGCACTCGTGGGACGGTTCAATGGCGAGCAAGGCCTTCATCTGCTCCTTCTCCTGCGTCGAGGAAGCGGAGGACAGAGATTCGGACAGTTCATGGCCCAGCGAGAGGAGAAGAAGCCTGCCCGAGTTCTGCGAAGGAGCTGTATCATCTCAGCTTGATTCATCCACCAGAACAACCGATTCCTCGAGCTCAACTGCAGAGAAGCCTTCTCCTCTTCGCACCAACAATAGGAAATCTCTGAGACACAGTCTCAACGAGGACCATCACCATCACTGTGCTGCTGCGGCGGCGTCTGGGAGCAGGAGGAAGAAGACCCACAGATGGAGCAAGGTCTGGAGATGGGGCATGCCCAGCCATTTCAAGGAAACCCCTCAGACTCAGAGGCAGTTCCTGGAACGGTCTCTCTCAGAATCCTGGAGAGAGAGCTGTAAGATGAGGGCCATAGAGAAGATGAACTCTGAAGAACTTACCCGGCATAGGCGCTCTCTGAGCAGAAGCAAAGGCACTGTCACCGGTGGCGTTCTCCATTGCTCAGCGAAGAGGAACGAGCACAGCTTTGGTCGGAGCCGGAGCATCCACTTCTACTCCCCTGGGAACCTGGAGAACGGGCTCCTCCGCTTCTACTTGACTCCTCTGAGAAGCAGCCGAAGGAACGCCAAGAGCAGGACGAAGACTTCTCGCCCCATCAGCAGGGGAATCTTCGGCTTCTATTGATGACGCAGGCAGGCATCTTGTATATTTCGTCTACGTCTCTATTTCCCTATGTTTCTTGCAAAAGGCGGGGCCTTTTATATGATCTGTCATCCCAGTTGTCAACTATCGGTCAAACTATCTCTTGTATCCTAACCCATTTACGGTCAAACTATTTATGAAAATTTCCCTTTTCCTCCTCATCATATCCATCTTTCAATATCAATGAGCATAAGAAGCTAAACATGATTTGTACCCATGTTATCTGATTTATTTATTACTTTTTTACTTTCTTCTTCGCAACCACTTTTCATGAGAATCCCCCAAAAACTACAGATTTATGAATCGCCCAGAATCTGAACTGGATAGTTTTATGGTGTGATAAATGTAGCTTCCCATCTCAACTCTATATTTTCTTGATTTGGGTCAGAACCCTCAAACTCTATAAAATAGAAAATAATCCATTATTTATTCCTACCCCTTTTGTTTTGATCGATCTTGTGAGGAAGAAGAGACCCGATTTGATACCATAATTTTCCCTCAAAAATGGGTTTTAAAATAACTTTCCCCGGGTATACACATACATATACATTCATGCCCGAGATGGGCCTGGGCCTTATCTGAAGAGCCCAGGCCCAATCCAGGGCAGCTACATGGCTAGAAATGGGCTCCGGGCCTTAAGGGAGGTATTTTTTGGGGGGCTTTACCTCAAGGCTCATGCCGGGGTGTTGGGCGTAGTGGGCCCATTTGAGTCAACGTCGGGCCAAGCAGGTTTCGGATTCCAATGATTGGAAGCTTGGATTTCGGGGCGGGGGGGGAGATCAAGAGTCGTATCCAAGTCGCTATGGGGGAATTTTACAGAATCGCCCCCAAAAATCGACTTGGGAGGGCCCTCTGTATTTAATGTTCGGTGCAAATGCGTAAATTATTAGGGGTTCATATGCAAATAATTTCTGATATAAATAGAAGGATGTGTGGAATCTTCTGGCTAGTCCTAATCCGACCTTCCTTCCTCCTCCAGCGACTGCCAGACCTCGAGCAGACGGGGAGAGAGAGAGAGAGAGAGGAAGAGAGGAAGAGGATCAGAGACTGGAAGGGAGAAGAGCAAGATGTCTTCGCCGACTAAACGCCGAGAGATGGACTTCATGAAGCTGTAAGCGCACACCCACACCCGCTGCTGGAATCTGCGCCTATCGAGGGAATTCACGTCCTTGTGTCTCTTTACGTCCTCTGGATGCAGGATGATGAGCGACTATAAGGTGGAGACGATCAACGATGGGACGCACGAGTTCCACGTTGAATTCCACGGCCCCAGCGACAGTAATGGCCTCCGATATCCGACTCTGTCTACTATCTCCCTCTCCCCATCCCCCTTTTTCTTGCTTCCCTTGATCGGGGCAAAGTTTTAATATTGGTGAGGTAGCGAGTTTGTTCCGAGATTCATGGTTCATGATGCTCGTGATGTCGTAGTTGTCTTAGTTGACTGAATCATGTCGGCATTTAGGAAGAGTGAAGAAAATTGAAGTCGATTTTCTCCGGTCCAGCTGTGATTCTGCTTCAGAGATTGTGTGCTTTTGGAATTTTCCTGTTTCTTTCTTGTTGAACGCTTGCTATTTTGAAATTGTTATAGTCCAGTTAAGTAATTCAACGCTGTTACTTAAAAAAAATAAATCTCTATTTGGGGCGTCGGTTTCTGTTTTTTCTACTGTTCTTAATGCCTGGAAGTGATACGTGGGCTTCACTATTTATTTATTTTTTACATATTCTGTGGTTGTGGCAGGTCCATATCACAGGGGTGTGTGGAAGATAAGAGTAGCTCTACCAGATGGCTATCCTTACAAGTCCCCTTCAATTGGCTTTGTCAATAAGATTTACCACCCAAATGTTGATGAGAAGTGAGTTTTTGCTTGTAGTCTCTTGGGTATTGCGATGTTTCCAGCTTCTGTCTCATCTCCCTGCTTCCTCATTCAGACCTTCACTCCAGGGAATATTCATATCCCTGGACCCTTAGTTATATGAGTGTTAACGGTACTAAAATTCCTTCAGGTCTGGCTCAGTTTGTCTGGATGTCATCAACCAGAGATGGAGCCCTATGTTTGGTATCTCCTATCTCTTGGTCCTCGCAATTTTTAAATAAAGGATTTTGTTTGTTTATGGATTGATTTAGACGATTCTTTTTTGTTGGAGCCAAGTACATAAACTTCCGCGTTTAATAAGCATCATCATTGTGCAGATCTTGTAAATGTTTTTGAGGTCTTCCTTCCGCAGCTTCTCCTGTATCCTAACCCTTCAGATCCTCTGAACAAGGAAGCCGCTGCTTTGATGATCCGTGATCATACAGAATACGAGAAAAGAGTAAAAGGTACTTCTTTTCTGTTCATTCCGCTTTAAATCCTCTAGTTTTGGTGGTTAACCTTCTTATATCCAAATTTGGCGTTTTGTCTTTAAAATGGCCGTAACTTGTCCGAGTAAGGATCATGGCTCATGCTGCTTGATGCTTTTGGTTTGGTCGAGTGAAATAGAAGTTCTTGTCTCGAATCTTTGTCGAAACCCAAAAAGATTTACATCACTCGGATTACAATGTTGGCTTTGTGATTCCAACACCTCCATGATCCAATGTCGAATTGTTGGACGGCAAGACTTTTCAGGGGAAAGGCACCTATTGGAGGCCCTTGAGATCTTTAGTCCTGTCGAAAATGCTAACTGGAGCAATCCCCCGACGTGTTGGCCAAGATTTTAATTCTGTATGGAGCTTCTCTCTTAGTTAAAACCATTGTGGCCGCGGAATCCGTTGATTACTAGACGCTGAAATGAGTAAGAACATCAATTTTTTTTCCCTGGGAATCTTCATGCCCTGAGGACAGATTATCTGTAACTTGCCACAATCTTATTCTACCTTTAGGTATCTCATTATGGCAGAAACATGGTCTGTATAGGATGGGAATTCAGCCGTCATTTAGAGAGTTCAGTAAGTTGCTCGGATTCAATCAACTTGAAGTAATAACACGGATCATACTTCTTTTTCTCCAATTCATCTTGAAAATCCTGAACACTGAGCCTCGAAATCTATTGGAAATGTTCTACCCCAACCCCACATACCCCCATTCCCAAGATTGAGCCATATCTGGTTCCACCCTTTATTGGGGCAAATCGTTCGAGGTTTAGAATCCTGCCATTTTTCTAACCATACCGAAATTTCCCCGAGAGTCATGTGAAAAATAAAAAAACCCAGATAATTTTACTTCTTTTTCACCAACCCAGTTCAGAAATGGGTCGGCCCGTCCTCGAACTCGAGCTATATTTGTCTCCACTTTCCGCCTGGTTGAATCTTTTTGGATTCAGAAACCTGCCATCTCGCTGATGTTTAGAAATTTTCCTCCAGAGTACTGTGAGAAGTATGCAAAGCCCGAGGACGCTGGCTCCCCATCAATGGACGATTCAGGAGACGAAGATCCGAGCGGAGATGAATCAGAGTCCAGCGACGACGACGATGACGATCTGGCAGCCAAAACCTGATCCTCTGTCGTTCACCCAAACCCGGTGCATTAAACGACTGAACACTCTTGCCCCACATCAAGGATGGCGACCGTTCTGCTCGACTCTCCTGCCTCTAGCAGCAAGATGGGTCGTCAAACTATGTATACAGTGTGAAGTGTTCTTTTACATGATGGAAAAAGTCAACATGACCTCACCTCTATTGAGAGAGAGAGAGAGAGAAGGGAACTGCGGTATCCGCAAGAGAGAGAAACAGAAGCGAACCCCCCCCCCCCTCTCACTCTGCCGTGAACAATGCGGCCTCCTTCCCTACCTTCCCACAGCCACCCAGTGACAGAAGCGCCCGGGCCCTGAGCACCAGCAGAGAACGGAACAAAAAAGGAGAGAAACCAGAGCCCAGTTTCTCCCCTCCCACGCTGCCCGCCCATTTCACTCGTCAACGCCTCTTCTTGTCGGCGCCTGAACAATTGGACTTTCCCTCTCATCCACCATTTGCTTCCTCCCGCGAGGAGGCCTCCTCCGCGTGGTAATCGCAGCAGCCACCGCCGTTCACAGAGGGCGGAGAAATTTCAGAAGATTAAGACGGTAGGGAGGGGCCCTGCTCAGTCTTCTTCCCTCTGCAACGAGCTGCCAAAGAACACAAACCCACAGAGAGTGTGAATATAAATAAAGCTGGGATTTTTCTTCTGCAATTGATCCGCCAGGAAACCAAAATCCATAGGGCAAAATAGACCATGATATATATATGTACACGCAGAACTCACAAATGGCTTGGCCGCCTCTTCCCGGTATCTGTCCTCATTTTCTTTACAGGTTTCGCCCACTGGGCCTCTTGTGCTGCCGCAGCCACCGGCCCGCCGCCGCCGCCGCTGGCCACCGGCGGTGGTCCCTTCTGATGGGGCCATGAGCTGGATTGCACAGGCTGCTGCCCACCAGGATGCGTCGGCGCAGCGTCCTTGTGGAGCAAGATCTTGGCGTTGCGCACCCCCCCGGTGGGGGAGACCATGCTGGGCCTCGCTGGCTTTGACGGCTTTGACGGCTTCGACGGTGGCGATGCAGGGCCAACCCGACTCTGGCCGAGCAGAGACGCCGGCCCCACCCGTGCCGCTGCCGCCGCCGCCTTCGGTGTTGAAGCAGGGCTGCCCTTCTGCATGACGGAGGCTGACTTCTCCCTGTCTTTCCTCTTCTTCTTGTGGATGACCAGGTCACCTGGGTGAGCCAGGAAGGGAGGGCAATCCAGTGGTGCAAGCTCCCCACCACCCCTGCTGCTGCTGCCGCTACCACCGCCACCACCCGAGGGCCTTGTTTCCTTGCTGTGGGACTTCCCTGCTGGGGCTCGCCTTCTCTGTTCTTCCTCGCTTGGGCCGGCACCTCGGAAAGCAGCTCGGGGGGTCCCCAAGTCCGATGATTCAATGTCATCGAGAAGCTTGTGCCGCTTGCTCTGATTGATGGCGCTGGCGGCAGCGGCGGATGGCCTTGGAGACGGGGACAACAGAGGCCCTCCTCCGGGGCCCAGGAACGTCGCAGTGTTCCTCGCTTCTCTTAGATCCGCATCTGGAAACGCCATCTTCATGATCTCAAAGAAGAGCTCTTGAAGCTTCCTCGCCTCACTCTTCACCTGCACAGAGATTCAGCCAGTTGCAGTTTGGGCTCGTTTTCTTCACTGATTTCAGCAGGAAACACATGGTGTTCTACTTCTCGTGAGCAAAAATAAGCCCTACGACTGAACAGGAGAGAGAGAAAGAGAGAGAGAGAGAGCGTACCTCGTATGAGTAACCCAGATACTGGACCAAGTTCTTCAACATCAGGTGGACGTCAGCAACGAAGTCCGCAATGCCATTGTACTCGAAGCTGTCAACTCGTCGATCGATCCTCCGTAGATCCAAGATATTGTTCGCCGTGGACGCAGAACTGGCGTAGTACAGATTCTCGTTTCTCCTCCACGAATCAAACACAATGGGCACAATCTGATGGCCATCTTTGTCGATTCTCCTCTGAAGCTCGCCGATGACATTCTTGAACTGAACATGGAAAAAAGATTCTGAGATGAGAATCAAACACGAAAAAGCTGATTCTGCATCAATCATCTAACCAAGCGCATTAGAATCAAAATCAAGGAAACATTCACGTGCATCCTCTACGGAGCATATGAAAGGGTCCCTCCCGGTTCCCACAAACTGGGAACAGATGCTCCATGAAACTTTGACAAAAGTTATGATAATGACAGCAATCCCATAGAAATCAAGCAAGGTCTTGCATTGCTCCAGCAAGCCGACACCATATGAAATCAGTACTTAAAAAGAAATTCTACTTGCTCTAAAATGCGATTGACGACTGATAAAACTATAGGAATTTCACCCATCAGTTAAAGAAAGAGTCAGTCAAATTAAAATTTCGTTATGCACGAAGAAAGATTCGGATTTGCTTGATATCAGGAGATCAAATGAATTCTTCAGTCTCATTCATTCATTGAATGCTAAACGACTACAAGTGAAGGAGATAAACGATTTAAATAATGAAAATTTCCATATTTGACAATTGTATCTAACAAACCATAACAAAGAGCACCCCGGAATGCCCATCTGTCGCTCCTCTTCTGCGGTTGGATTACCACATTATGATATATTCAAAGCTGATGATGCACACGGAGTTCCCATGGAGAACAGGATGCAACATTGAATAATAATAAATGACTTGAAACAAATAGATTCAAGAAACAATTACCTTTCTCTGCATTATATCCGATGTCTTGGTTCCAGCAAATGTAGACCCAGAATTGTTCGGGGCTTTGCCATTCCAGCTTTCTCTAGCATTTTCAGTTGAACCCTCTGCAACCCCGGACACATTATTCAACCTGCTGGCCTTGAGCATGGCATTTGATCTTTGAGCAACTGGACCCTTCCGTGATGTTGAAGTACGCTTCTGCTTCACAGAGAGGTTGCTTGTGTCAGGTGCCTCTGGAACTGACTCATTCAATGCCTCAGATTCGAATTCGGGCCTCGACCGCAAAGCATGATCATTTTCTGCTGGCATAGTCAGCTGGGATCCCTGCTGCGACACATGCCTCTTGCTGTTGGATTTCTCTTCAAGCTTGTCCGCCATAGGCCTTGGCCGGATGCGCATACTACGCTTACGCTTTATTCTGGGTTGAAGAACCTGCTCGTCCTCGCATTCTTCACGCTCAACGGCGTAGCTTCCAGACTGCTGGAGATCTACGTGAGAATCACTCGACATTGCAATTTCCCCCTCCTCCAAATCATCAATCTGAGTTTTCCGCATGAAAAAATTAGCAATTAATGGAAGATGAGAACAGAAGAATAACGCAGAGAACAATAACGAGGAAAATTCTGTGCAAAGAGAGCTCACCGTCCTTTTTGAGGGAGCTGCTGGCTTTGCATCTAAAGCAGAGAGAGATCCGAACTTCTGTGAAGATCCAGAAGGGGTTGCAACTTGAGGCAATCTTTGACTTCCAGATGAATATCCTGAAGAGCCAGCATCCTCAAAAACAGGTTCACTTATATTGACTTCCGAAGCATGGGGAAAGACGAATGAGCCACCATCAACCAGACCTTCGTCTTCCGATTGATCTTTATTATCCAGCGCCTCACTGGTCGTACCATTAAATTCTTCGTCAAACTCCCCAACTTCTCCTTCCTCTTCATGTATCAGATATTCATTTCTCTCTTCAGAGCTTGCGTCAGAATCTTCTACATCTTCATCGTCCAACTCCCTGTAAATAGAATAGTTCGGGCGCCCTCTTCTTCTTTCAGACCTACTCGGAGATGATGCCACAACAATTTCACCAGATTCCAGAACAACCTTGTCAGATAAGATGTTCTTGGATGGCTTCCTCGACAGATTAGAAATAATTGCATTCACTTCTTTAGATCCGACTCTTAGCCACTTGGGAACCTGATCATACTTCACCATCTCCCCAGTCCACTCAAATTCTTCATCCATCTGATCAAACAGTTCAACTTCTTCTTCACTTCGAGCGATCATACGATTCACCTGTTGTAATGAAGGAACATCATGAACAGTTTCCTGATATCTCTCTTCATCATGGAGTAATGTCTCTAAAGTCATTCTCCTTTCTTCATGAGTTGTGCGCTGATCAAACCGACCAGCATTTATTACTTCGTCGGCCATGTCAATCTTATACTGTTGGATATTGTTCCGTATGAGACTTTCAATGGAACCCATATATCTATCTCTGCCAGCAAGATCATCCTCCGAATCAGCTGTACCTCCATTCCGTAGTTCATCTTCTTTCTGGTAACTTGAAATTTGGTCCACAACAGCTTCCATATAAATAACTTTGACCTCTCTTTGCTGCCCAATGCGATGTGCCCTAGCAACTGCCTGCTCTTCGTTCTGTGGATTGGGGTCTGGATCATATATGACAACAGTGTCTGCAGTCTGAAGATTAAGACCCCTTCCAGCAGCACGAATACTCAGCAAGAAGATGAAGCAATCAGAGTCAAGTTTATTGAAGTCAACTATGGCTGATTCACGATCCTCAAGGCTTGTAGTGCCATCGATTCGTCTATATACAAGTCCTCTCCATTGCAAATACTCTTCTAATATATCAAGAAGCTTTGTCATGGTGCTAAAGAGAAGTACACGGTGCCCAGCTCTCTGAAGTTTTATGAGAATCCTATCCAGGATCCAAAGCTTTCCACAACACCTCACCATAAAATCTATTGAATAGTCAGTGAAATAAGGATAATTGAGCAAAGGATGATTGCAGGCTTTGCGCAGCTCCATGCATTTGTTATTAAGATTCTTGTACATCTTAACCTGGTACGATGGATTTTTCTCCACTCTGCGTAACTCATCTTCAGGATCAACTCTAATGGTACCAGTTGATTTAATCCAATCATAAATGGCACCCTGCATAGCCGACATTCGGCATTTCAAAACAATGGAAACCTGCAAGCAACACCAAGAAAAACGGCCGTCAGTTCTAAACAAGGCTTAACCTCGAAAGAAACATAAACGATTCAAACCAGTGGATACCTTGGGAGGGAGAGAACCTTCCACATCTTCAACACGCCTTCTGAGCATAAATGGTTCCAAAATCTGATGAAGCCTATGAATGATGATCACCTTTTTCTCGGTCTCTAGCCAATCATCTTCCTCCGGGCTATGTGAGGAACCATCCTTTTGAAAGGGCTTTGAGAACCAATCATGAAATGCTTTGCGATTGTCAAAGACTTCAGGTAGAAGCAAATTTAGCAGTGACCAGAGTTCCTTCAAATCATTCTGGGTTCAAAAATAAAAGTAAAATGAAAAATATCCAACGAGAGGGCCAAAGATATAAAATACAGGTAGAGATCAGAGTCGGAAAAATAATAAAACTCAAAATCCTGATTTGTACAACAAAAAATAAAAAATTACTGATGGATACGGAGACATTCACCTTTCAAGAAAGCATGCGTTTATGTGTGCGCACGAATATAGAAGGGATACCGATTTCTCAATATTAAAAATTAGATGTCGGCAAGTATATTGCTGATGTAGTTCTTGCAATATACTTCACACAGTAATGTAACACATTTCCCTCACGTTTTTTTAATTTCACTACACCAACTGAATTAAGAGAGAAACCACAATTTTTAAGAATTGTGAACTTCTCGCCGCACATATTTCAAATCAAACAAAAAAATTCACAAATTTATTCTACAAAAGAAATTTAGAAGGAAAAATAAGCAGCTTGGAAACAATTGGGAGCACTTGGCTCTTCTAAAATCAAATAATCAACTTGTTTCGAACTTCGATCAGGATGTTGCAGGGGTTTTACTGAAAGCACTTCAAAAACTAAAACATCATTTTTTTTCCTTTTTTTTCATGATCAGCCTTTTTTTATGGAAACAGGATTATCATTATTCCCATATATTGACAAACCTGCAAAGGAGTCCCTGTAAGAAGTAATCGTCTCTGGCAACGGTATCTGTCAAGATCACGAGCCAAAACAGATTCTCTATCTTTCATACGTTGAGCTTCATCAATAATGATATACTTCCAATCGATTTTTGATAGCTTGGAACGGTCGTACATTACAAACTCGTAAGTTGTAACTAGCACATTAAATTTCCTGGCACAAACCTCCTGAAAACAGGGATAACTTCAGTACGTTGATGGTCAATATAGTGCACGCACATTGTAAAACAGTTGAAAACCTAAACTATGCGTTGAATTATGTATGCAAATGATAGTTTCAATTCTTCAATCTAAAACTGCAAGCAAAAGTGTTTAATTCATTTCCACATACACCCACATAAAATATTCTAATTAAGCCAATACTGTATCTTGAATTTCAGACAAATCGAGGGAAATTGTCAAAATAACACTGAATGGAATAAATAAACCTCAACAACTAACAAAATAACGCCCCAATATAGTAGTTTTTTTTAAGTGGATAGCACCAGGTTATTTAAAAGCTCGTGATCTAAAAGCTTTCAGAAACCCCAATACATCACTTTTATGCGACATCGGTAATAAGCCAAAACCAAAGACCCAACAACTCCAAAATTAGTGGAGCATTGCCTTCCTCACTTCACAAAGATCTCACCCAATGTTTCAACTCATCAAAAACCCACATGAAAACCCTAGATACTATGGCGCTATTCCTTCTGAAAAGATGACCGTTTCTTGTCATCCACGCAACCCAATGGCTTGGATACAAAACAACTTACTAATTACTACGACCAACCTTCCTTGTCTCCGACCTTTTCCGCCCAGACAAAGCTCATCAAATCCAATCGTAATCATACTCTCCTAAGCAGAATTTTTTGAGCATATGGATAGTTCTTCTCGTCCCAAATGGCTGAGTCGCACGTTTTGCCATCACCAAGTACCCATAATCAATGGCACAATGTCCACAGCTCCACCACTGCCTCATACATCTAGTTCAAGTGGTAACTTTGTTTTCTTTGAAATTTCTTTTTATCATTGCCAGTTGCGTCAACACAAACCTTAGTCTTTAACAATTGGAAAACCAAGTGTGGAAAAGGTGAAAGCATTGCTACAAAATAAGTTACATTACATTGTTCGACTACAAAGTTGTTTTTCATTTCCCATGCTAAATAACCAGTTAGGAGTAATACATGATGACCATGGATTAACAGAATATGTGTTTTCATATTCTGAAAATAGCATAGAAGTAGTAACACCGTTTTTCTGTTGTTATATAAGAAATATAATTCTCAGTATAGTTCACGCTCTCCAATCATCCAAAAACCTCATAGAGTGGGATGATTAAACAGTTCAATCAAATGAGCTTATTTTCAAAAATCGTCACATGTTCATAATAAACTGAGCGTCGCTCACCTGAGAGAAAAGCTTTGACCGTTCATCCTTCCCACCAACATAAAAGATGCATGATACAGAAGGCAGCCAGTTGTACAACTCACTCTGTGAAATGGCAAATAAATCAGCCTAAAATCACACAGCAAATGAATTTTCAAAGAGAAGTAACAGAACACAGGAGAAAATAACTTCACCTTCCAATTCACTAGCACTGCATTAGGAACTATTATCAGATGCGGTCCGTTGTTGCCTTTAAACTCCATCAAATAAGCAATTAAAGCCATGACCTATTCCAACAGAAAGAACAAGGCAGAAGACAACAAAATTATTAATTATTCAAAAATATGATAGCAGAAAGAGCTAACATAGTGAATTTGAATCCAAAAGCAATGAGATATCGTATATTTTTCAACGAACTAAGGACATTATTTAAAAAACTAGTTCAATTAGAGCGATTCAGGAAGATAATAATAAAGGTCATAGAAAACATTAAGACACTACCGAACTATCATATTGGTTCTATTTGTTTTATTATTTATTCATACAATGCTGATATCCAAGAAGAGGCCAAAATGGATTTGCACAACTCTTTAGCAATGAGCATGATCAAGGAACTTGATTCTAGTAACCAGATGACTCTCCTTACACTGATACAATGCTGAAGAAGATTTATTCTACACAAGTGGCATTAGATTCTTTGGACATTTTTGCAACTCCAAAATCAAGAAAATGATCATACCATATCCTATAATACTATGACGAATTTTGTGTGAAGGACAAAAGAGTTTCGAAAGCCTAAGATACAGCATTCAGACAATATGCCATAATCTCCTTGTACTATCAATAAATAAAGGATTTAAAATGAGCATAAAATGATCCATGATTGAAAATTGATTCAGAATGAATGGGAAATGCCTTTCATAATACATATCCGCGGATCTTACAAGACAATACTTTTCTTCATAATGTTTTCCATAACCAGTTGCTTAACTGCTCCAAACGGGACTAAAGAGGTGCTCGCAATAGATTTATGCCATTGAAAAAAATGCAACAAAAATAAAGGACACTGAAAAATTAAACGCAGTGCTGAATCTACCTACCTGCACTGTTTTGCCTAGTCCCATCTCATCCGCCAGAATTCCATTCAACTTATTATTGTATAAAGAAAGCATCCACTGTAGCCCAACCTGGAAATCAAACATCGTAATGTAACATTACACAGTTTCCAGATGAAAAGTAAGCAAATTTACCATAAAGTAACCTAAATGCGAAAAATGGATTGACACATTTTTTAAAATATTGGTAGCTACCTGAAAAGAGAGTGCGAAAAACAAAACGAGGCTTTGCACGTATTTTTTTTTACATGAAAAGGGGACGTGATTACTAATCAGCTATTGTTTAGATAAATGGAAACATGTAAGGCAGTAATAACATACAAGCTGATAATCACGTAAGGTTCCTTTACGTAACATTGAGGGCTGCCTGATAACTCTCTCGTTCACAGCATGAGCTAGATTGTAATACCTAACAAACAACATTTTAGCATTGTTAGAAAAGTAAAAATAATTATAATAATCCAAAATAATTTTTTTACATAAAACCAGAAAGGAACCTCGGAATCGGTTGTATGAAGTGACGAATATTGAAAAAAAGAGAAAATTCACACGACTATTGCACACTGGACCAATACTGGTTCTCAGAAAATGCTATTAAAGTAAAAGGCGCAATAAATTACTTGCTGACAGAGTTGTCCCTTGGTGCATTCATTTCGGAGAACCTATTCCTGATCATCACTTCCTCTCCGGCACATGCTGCTGCAGCCCTGACTTCCTCTTCTGATAGTCCCTATTAACAGCATAAAATAAAATAAAATAAAATTAAAAGCTATTAAAACGCATGTCATCATAGAATCCATAAATATAATGCTTCAAAATATCATACTTGAGATCGTGCAGCAGTAGCAGCAGCATTTGCTGCCTCTTCCACTTCTTGGTGATTCTTCGCTGCAGTTATTTTCCCTCCAAGTTTGTGTAGATACTCTTCTGTTTGGGACAAAAATGATGAGAGAACAGCATATCTTTGTGCTGCATCACCAGGAACGTTTGTCTGCTGCTCAAGCAACATCTCACGATATCTATCAACATCATTGTTCTTCAAAGCCTCCATTCTTCTGTTTCGATCATCATCTTTCTTCTTAGAAAATTCTCTTAGCATCCTTTCATGATATTTAGCAACTCCCCTGTTGCGGGTAGTCCGAGCATCACGAATGGCCCAATGAGACTCGAGAAGCTTTTTACGCCACTGGAAAATAGACTTTAATTGCTTCTCTCTCATTAGTTTCTGTGAAACCTGAACCTGCCTCAGAAGTTCTGCACGCTGCCGTTCACACTGCCGAACAAACTTTCGGTAAGGCCTATCAGACATTGCCATTATCTCTTGTTGCTGCTGACCAACCTCATCCCTAAGACGGGCCTGAAGATTTATGAGACGAAGCTTTCTCTCTTCAATTTGAAGTCGGAGAACAAGATCAGGCCTAATTCTCTTAGTTTCTAAGTTAAGTGAAAGCAAGCCACCTATCTTTTTCAGATTTTCTGCTCTCTTCTTGCTAAGAACCACCACTCCTTCTTCATATAACAAATCTTTTACATCATAAGATAATGTCAAATTGCTTGTGTTATTCAGTGCGATAGATGAGGCAAATGAATCAAATTTTCTAGTAAAAAAGGGAAAATCAAAAAGTGGACCATTGTATCTTCTCGTTGGGTTAGAATCCTTTGGAGCATTGCTAGACTGACCAGTTTTCTTCGGCTGTTCTTCATCTAATGTGATACTCTGCGGTGAAATAGCCTTGCTCTTGTCCATGTTCATATCACCATTAGCGGGGATCTTTGACCCCATACGCTCAACATCGTGCTCTGGCTTAACCATGGGTATAGCACTTTGCTCCGTCTTCCCAAGAGCTTCCAGATTAGTGTGCTCCCGTGTGGAACCTGCCAAGCTCTGCACTTGAGAGCCTCTCTCGTCCATAAAGGAAGCTTCTTCCTTTGTAAGAATCATCCCCTTGCTTGAAGCAGCTGGCTGCGAAATCTTATCATTAGTATCAAAATGCCTTATCTTCTCATCAATAAGTTTATTGGGTGTTCGTTCTGTCACCCCCTGTGATAGAAAAGACGGTTGTGGTTGCCTATCAAGCGGCGGAGGTACAATAGCTTGAAGAACCTCCTGTGGAAGACTACGCTCACCACGCTGAAAAAAAGCAAAAAACACAAAATTAAGGGTCTCTCAATATAATCCATTATTTACTTTGAAATGACCACACATATAGAAGACATCATGATTACCTTCAGACGTCTGAAGGCGAGAATCTGGGCTTTGAGAACATGGAGCTGCTGCTTTGTAAACCCAATACGTTGCTGTGGCACCTGAGCTGAAGAACCATGAGAAGGATGTTGGACTGACATGCCTTCACCAGAAGAAGTGGTGGGTTGAGCCGGACGGTTCAACTGCTGTAACTGCCTTAAGTACTGCATTTGTCGTGTTTCAGTCCCAAGAAAGGCACTTTTAGCCCCTGAGCCTTCAATGTTCTGGCTGATGCTCCCAGATGACTGAGGGGGATGCATGGATGACGTTGCATTCCCAACAGTTATTGGAAGTGCAGCAGTTTTTTCGGCTTCTTTATCCCTTGGTGGGGTAGAAAGTTGCTGCTGTATTTGGATGCTACCACCATTCATTAGAGTAGCATTCCGTGCACTGGAGATTGATGCTGAAGGAGGCAAGTGGAGACCTTTTGATGGGCCCCCCTGCCCAGAATGATCATTCAAGGAATTGCCATGGGCAGAATTTTCACTACCAACAGGAGAGGACATTACTTGTTGCTTCGATGAAGATGCATGTGATTGGTTTGCAGGGTTATTGCTTTCATTTGTTTTCTGTGCCGCAGCCATCTTAGACTGAAAAAGAGGAAGAAGTTGTGCAAACATATTGGCATTAGCCGGAACAGAAAGATCAATATTTCGCTCCATCGCCCAAGCCTGTATTGCTTGCAAAGGGGTCATTGCAATCTGGTTGTTAGCATTCTGAACGTTTGAGTGCGACGTTGGTGGCTGCATGGGCCTACTGATATTCGCTGTATTGAACTGTCCAATAGAAGACTGGGGTGACTTCAGATCGCTCCTTTGCTCAGTACTTGCATGGCCCTGCTCCACTTGTGTCTCAACATGTGCATAATGCTCAGCTGGCTTTCTTGTCATAGCATGCCCCAGGTTGGCCGCCTGTAGAGACAGAAGCTCCTGCATCTTCAACTGATATGAACGTATTTCCTGTTCCCTCCCTGCTGGGACAGACATTCCTATTTTCGACTGCTGCTGCGCTTGCAGATTATGGAGAGGCTTCTGTTGGGCAGCCTGGACATATTGAACGTAACCCTGATGGTCAGGGGGGTTCTGCGCATGCTTCTCCATACCCTGCACTCTGTTCTGGCTTTCCTCCCGAGCCTGCGCTACAGCGTGCTGTTGAGGCATGTCACCAGAGACCCTTGGACGCTGAGATGGAACCATGCCACCCGACGGGTTGGGGAAGTTGTTACCCCCCATAACTCCGTGTGTTCCCGCAGACTGATAAGCTGGAAGACCTTCATCTCCTTCAGGCTTTCTGAGCTGTCATTGTCGCAACGACAAGGAACAGAAATGAAAGTGAATATAATAGATAAGCCCAACAGTCATCATCCCCGTTACAACTCCAAAAAAAAGAGAGAAAATATGATTCCATACCCCCTTATCACTTTCAAACTAGCAAGAAAGCAAGTTCATCCCAAAGTTAAAAAAAAATTAGAGAACAAAAAAAAACTTAGAACACAAGATAAAACGCCTTCAATGCAACTTAAATGCAAACTATAAAGTAATTTATGCAGAAACGTGTTTGATGAAGTAATGCAAAAGATGGGGGAAGGAAGAGGAAACAGAAATGGGACTGCTGACTCGGCCAATGGAATGAACTCCTGAATACTAGGAATGGAAATGAGGGGATAAGGTTAACAGAGAACACGGCGAGCTACGTCCACGTGACACGGAAAGAATCCCAGAGTAGTAAATTCATCCTGACTACTCTCCCCGTAATTCACACAAGAAAAACGGATTTCCAATGGCATATCCAGCATACCTGTCGAAACGCCAGGTTTTGCTGGTGCTGCTGCAGTCTCAGTTGTTGGTGGTGCTGGTGTTGCAGCCGTTGCTGGTGCTGCTGCTGCTGGTGGTGGACAGAATCGAGCCCTAGGTGGTTCGGCGCTGATACGGCGGAGGAAGACGACGACGGCGACGGCGACGAGGACGAAGAAGAACGCCCCGGCGGCGGAGCAGCCATATTCCGGCCATGCCCGGCCACCCCACCACCGGGTTGCATACGAAGGACTCCCGACAAACTCGGGAGGAGAAAGATAAATTACAAATTTATCAAGCAAAACCTAAACCCAGGGTAGAAAAAGGGGGGAACGCTTCCCCCTCCCTCACAACTCCACCATTCCTTTTCAGAATATCTGAGACCTTGCTGACTCGATCTGGACTCCCACGGGGCCCCTCCCCCTTCCCCCCGCCACGCCAATCCCGCCCCTGGCAAATGCGGCTTCCCCTTCCCCCCTTCGCCTGCCCCCGAAGAAATCGCCGCCGGCCGGCGCCCGATTTTGGGGGCCTCCCCTTCCTGAGCTTCGAGATCGGAGGGAATCCCCCGCCGGGGCACCGCGATCTCGCCGGACTGGGACAATCCGGCAGAAAATTTTATTGCAAAAAAAAATCTCTCTTTGCGTGAATGCAGGTTGCCCAGTCAAACCCTAGCCTCTTGGCCCTTTCTTTCCTTCCTTTGTCTTTTTTCACGTGGACTCCAAACGTGTCCCTTTGATGCGATGAATCCAATGGGTTTGCGTCCGCGGCCTTCCCTCCTGTCCTCCTTAATGGGCCCCCCCCGTCAACCACTCCAAGCATGGTCCACACGAAAACCCATTTTTCTAATACCCATTTTATTGTTAATAAATCCCATATATATATATATAATACAAATACCCACATCCCACATGAAAACTGTAGATCCACTTCTTTATTTTCTCATTAAAAATTAGCTGATTAAAATTTCGGGTTTATTCCTACTCACCGATTCTAGGAGATAATATCAATTTACATTTTAGTTAAGCTAGTTTGACTCATTTTTCTCCTTTTTTTTTTGCTTAAAAAATTGAACCCAGAAAATAAGCCACACCGTGGTTTTTATATTTCTTTTTCCCCCAAAATTAAAATGCATTTTTTAATAAAATAACATCTTGGAAGAGGCATTATTGGTCGTAATTCGCAGATATATATTATTAAATTGACATATGCCATAAGAAGTGATTAAGCAAAGCAGAGGATAATGCCGGTGTTGAAGGAAAAAGACTGACCCATGGTCCTTGTGGTCCTCGGTGCCGTGAGTCACTCACCTCACTGGGTCTTAGTAGACTGAGAAGGACATTTAGTAAGCCAGCTCAGCTCAGCCAGCTCAGCTCAGCTCAGCCAGCTCAGCTCAGCTCAGCTCAGCTCAGCTCTGATAAGATCAGATCAGTACAACTACGGTCCGCACACCACAGAGAGTAACAATAAATGATGATTTCTCATTATTTCCACAATGGGTACAACGTTGGTATGACGTTGAAGAGACATGACTTCATTGATCTTATGTGTGTTGCCCTCATGAGGATGGCAAAGCTAACACAGACTTGGTGATTTCCGAAGAAGGAATGTGAAAAGGCACTCACCTCAATGGATGAACACCAGAAGCGAGGGGTTGAAGAACAGGGCCAAGAACCAGGAGCTACTTCAATTTCTCACTGAAGTCTGGGAGATCGAGGAGGCCAATCCGAGGGATTCCTTCGGCCTCCTGCCTCTCCTTCTCGGTATTGTAGCCCCATCTTCCTGTCCCAGTTAGAAAACCTGGCTCACGGCACAGAACTTCTCCGGCAAGACCATAAAGAACAGGGAAAGAAGCAAGATGTATAGCTGGAATACCGAGGTACAGGTTCCACCCATCCAATTCGGGATCTCTGATGACGTTCTTCAGAGTGGCCAGGCGATCTTCCACGAAGCTGCATGATAGGAAGGATCATATGTTTCGGCCAATAAATATTATTATATGAGTCGAAATTATATGACCAAGATCCCTACACGGAATTATGAAATGGATTGGGTTTAAATATAAAGCACTCAGCTGTCACATTATGATATGTCGTAGTGTGATCCAAATCTTAATTATGATATGGAATTATGATATTTTTCGTGATCCCATAGAAGGGGTAGAAGACATTAAAGATACTACTGGATATCTAGGGAACTATGTGTGCCGAGGACGAGCATCTTACTGGAATCGCAGCCCCTGGAGGTCCGGCCTCCTTTGAAGTTGCTTCAGCACCTCTACCTTTGGTCTAAGTGCATCATCAAGAAGCAACTACTTGAGTAAATGAGAAAAAGGGGAATAAGTGAAGCTTCCAGTGTGTACACTAACCCAGTCCCTAAGCCGTAGATCTTGTCAGATGGAATGGTTACTCCCGCCAACTCTCGTAATAAGACGTCCGCAAAACGTTTCTATGAAAAAAAAGATGCAGGAAAATGAATTAACTCGTTCTTGATCAGAATGGGAAAACAAATTATTTAGTGATATATCACTGTATCGATGATTTCAAGGCCTACTAATAATGGTGAGAGACAAAGATCAGACATGCAGAAAAATTAAACAGTATACCATGCTCAGTCAGAAAAAAAAAATAGTTGTACAGTTAACACCCACACAGATTGGTCACCTCGATGTAAGATTCCAAGAATTCTCACAAGTACTGAGACCAGCGATTAATGATGGTGAGAGACAAAGGCGATTACAGATATCTATTAATGTCGTATATAAACAAATGCATACGAGTTCAAGATAAAAAAAAGAGAGAGACCAGAAAGGTATAGACGTCGGAAATATGAGGATAACAGAGGAAAACAGCAACAAATGGAGCATTGCCTGCTTCGTAGTGACGATGTAGATTTCAGAGCAAGAGAATTTCAAAGCCTCCGCAACACCAGGGTAAAATCTGCAGAAGTACATCAACAGTCGGTCAATCAATATATCATATCACTGCACCTTTTGATAATCATAAATAACTATATGTAGCATGTCAAAATGTTTTATAACTGAGTCACCTGTTGGCTGCTACCCAACCTGATAAATCATTTTCTATCCATTCGTCCCTCACCCTTCCAAAAAGATCTATCAAGGAATCCCTGTCTTCATTCCACTCCATCATAATGATAGGTTTCAATGCTGACCAACTCTCCAAGATTCTTTCAATGGTAAGTCCATCTGAAACCTTGGACAACAAACCTTGTTTGGTAAGACAACGGTAGAATGTTGCAAGAGAAACCTAAATTACGCCAAATCCAAAATTCGAGTTGAATGGAACTTAGTCCCGTCCTGAGGTATTGATCCCCAATGTTGTTTAAACAGGAAAAATTGAACCAAGGATTGCACTGTGAGGAATTGTTAAGTACTTACCGAAGATTTCCGAATTGAGGATATCTGAAGCTCCAAGAGCAACCTCACAAGCAACAAATTTTCATATCCTGTTTCCACTACAGGACGAAGCTGTCGTAACAAACATGTTAGCCGTAGAAAAATATATTCACAAAACAGTTTACTTAGAAATATCATAGGCAAGTAGACTATGCGACGATTTAATTGAAGAAAGATCTTGATATTACTTGTGGTAATATAAAATTGGGTATAAGAACTGGAAAAGTGAAAACATTTTGCAAACCACCTTGCTAAAAAAAACTCCAGAGAGCACTGTAATGTAAAGATCTCCCTCAAAAACCATAATGCACATCCTTAGAGAAACTAAAAATCTTAAATGTCCACATAATAAACATGTCTACAATTTAATGACAGATTTTTAGGGCATGCCACCGATATATTTAGGAAAACAGTTCCCATAAGCTAATTAGCTTGGGTGAACTGTAAGCATATAAGAGCTTCTCGCGTGTCTCTTATTTTATCAATAATAAATTGACCAAAGTTCGACAAGAAAGAAGAAACGGATTGAAGTTTGTAAATGAGTTGAGGGCTGAATTATGTCATATTAGTTGTCCTGCGCCACAGCCAATGACCACTGTGACGGGTTGCTGTTTGATAGCTGATCAACGCCATTCAATCAGATAATTTTGCCGAATTTTTCCCATCTGATTTCAGGTATTCATTAATTTTTCGGCGTGGTATGCATAAACTTGCATGAAAGAACCAGTGATACATTCACTGGTGAAGCATGAACTGTTCGAATCATTTAGATAATAATGGAGACTTCTATGTCATTATCATTGACAAATTAAGATCCACGGGGGTAGATATGTCATTGCTACAGAAAATTAACATGCACGATGGAATCATCAATAAGTGGCACGGGAAATAGAAACAGCAGATTGGAACATAGGACCCGCAGAGGAAGCAGCTATACAAGAAAAAAGTGATTCTTCACGGATACTGCGTCCAGCCAGTAATAGCGAAAGCAGTGGAAAGTGGGAAAGAAGCTTACAATGTGCATCTGGTCGACGATCCACTCCTCCACGCCCACATCCACTCCTCTGAAGAGATCAGGCCACCTTACTTTCGCCGCCTGTGAATTTATCAAGAAAAAAAAAGGAGGAAAAAAACCGTTAAAATCACCCATTCACGACCTTTGAAATTACGAAAAATGGCGACAAGCTGCATCAATGGCCTCGGACTTGGTGCGAGGGATCAGTAAGTCCTACCTTGAGAGCTGACAGGGAGCTCTCGCCACAGCTGTCGCAGAGCACTCCATCAAAATCCAGCGCGTACAGATCGCCGGCCATTCCCTTTCCCTGCTCCCTGCAGTTCGCCGCACCCGTCCGAAGAAGCTAAGATACGACCGATAGCTTCAAACCATGAACACCTCAGAAATTTTCAGCCGATCGATCCGGGCCTTGTCCATTCCGGGCCGAATAATCTCCAAAGGCCCGGGCCCGATAAACACCCCGCCTATGTTCATCTCCATAAATAGTACCTCCTTCTGTGCGATCTCTCGCGGCATCATTTCTCCGTAGCTGACGTTCTCTGCGATCGCGGGAGTTGATCTCCTGCAGCGAGATGGCCACTGGGGAACTGGGCCAGAGATTTACGGTTCCCGGGCGATCATTTCTCCTGGTGGGTCTTTTATCCCATTCTCCATCTTCCTTGCAAACAATTTCCGCAGATGCTGTTGTTAGGTATCGTCAATGGCAAGCCATTTGTTCGGAGCCCAGTTCCCCTAATGAAACTGCTGGCGTCTAATGGCGAACCTGTCCGCTTTAGAGTGCACCTTTTGCTTCTATACGACCAATTTTTTGGCTTATTACCGCTGGTACGATCATATTAAAGAGGCAGATGAGGGCATGTCTTTGATTGATAGGAAACCTAGGACTTATCATTCATGTCTTCGATTGCTGACCCATACGAGCATGGGCCATCTCAGGCCATTTAGTTCTTTGGAGATAACAGTCTCTAGATTTGGGTTTGAGGGGGTCAAGTACTTTACTAATCCCGCGACTTCAAGAGAGGGAACTCATTAGTCTCACAGGCTGGCAGGCACTGCTTCTGCTAAGTCCCGTTCCCTCTCTCTCTTCTCTCTCTCTCTCTCTCTCTCTCTCTCTCTCTCTCTCTCTCTCTCTCTCTCTCTCTCTCTCTCTCTCCCCCCCCTCTCTCTCTCTCTCCCCCTCTCTCTCTCTCTCTCTCTCCCCCTCTCTCTCTCTCTCTCTCTCTCCCCCTCTCTCTCTCTTCCTCTTTTTGGCTGGCTGAAAGGTTTTATTGGCTGCAGAAGAATACAAAAATCGTCAACAAGGCTGGTAGATTGTTCGCTATCCGAATTTTCTTCTGTTTTTCATCACTTTTCCTGCGTGAAAGTGATTGTAAATTATTTCAATTTAACTTATCATATTGGTTGATGGAAATTTAAGAGTTTAAACCTGAAACTTATGAAATAAAAACTATAATTGGTAATGCTTCAAAAATACTATTATTCAATTACAAAACTTTATGTATTACAATGTCATACTTTCAAGTTTTTAAATCTGATGTATTTACTATTGATAGATAATTGAGCGTTAAATTTATATCTTGTCACCAAATTAACTATTAATGGAATTTTTAGAACGAAAACATACTTTTTTATTTAACCAAAAAATTGAGAAAATAAAAGTTGTATATTTTGAATAGTTACGAATTTTTTTATTAATTTCTGGATTGAACTTATCCTAGAGCTTGTGACAACGAAATCATGAAATCATTTTTTTAATAACAACAAATATATGCACTCTTTTATTCTACCATGAAATTTAAAATCTGATAGCTTTATATCTTTAAAAGGCTTTTAAATCTCATTTGCTTGATTCCGTGTTAGAAATGTGAGAAGTCAAATCTGCAACCTTGGACATAAAAACTTGAAATGGTATTGTTTCCTAGAAAGTACTCAGTTTTCTATTCTACTACGAAAAATTGAAAATCTGATTGATTTCTATTTCAAAAAAAAATTACCTTATTTTTAAAAAAATTATGACATAAATTTGAGACTTTTTTTCATCCTACAACCTGAAATAAAAACCCTTAATTTTTTTTATAAAACATCAGAAACTTTGATAATTTATATCTTGATGGTTTTCAAATGCAGTTTATATAATCTATTAAATAGAAAATTAAGGATTGTACCCTAAAAGATGTATAAATTTACTCAATCCTTTTTTTTATCTCTTGAAGGTTTTAAAATCAAATTTACTTTTTTTGTTGATAGAACTTTCAAGGTCTTAGTGTACAATGTATAAAAAAAAATGTGAAATCGTTTTGTTTTTAATTATTATAGCAAGCTATAATAATATTTAATGTTTTAAATATGATTTATTTGATTTTCCATTAGAATTATGAGGGTTAAAATCTACAACATGTTATGCAAAAATACAGAATTGTTTTATGAAAAATAGTTTGTCCTTTATTCTACCTATAATTTTATTTTTTATGAAAAAAATGGAGAGTTGATATGCATGACAAAAAAAATGTGAATTAATGTTATTTTTGATAAAAAAAACACACAATGGTATGGTTCTTTGGATAAATCACACCCTTTTTCAACTTCGAAATTTAAATTAAAATATTTATATTCTAGGCATACATAAAATGATGTTTTTTTTCCTTCAATATTTATGAACTCTTATGGATTTCTCAACCATTTGTAAGAGAGAGAGAAATAAAGAAATATATCTTACATGTCTTCCTTGAAATTCTTTGATGATTCATTCTCTTATCAGTGTATGAGTGGGTGACATTTACATTGATGGAGATATAAAGGGACTTTTAGGGATTTGATCCGATTATTTACATTCGTTTCATTTCAAGGAAGGATTGAAAAAAAACTATCTTTTTTTCACTAAATCAATCATTATAAGAGTACTTAGAGATTTTGACACAAGACAGGTTGATGAAAACACCTAAGCTACCCTAGACAAGTAGTCTAGACCTCCTATATCAATTAATCTAAGAATGTAAAAGAATTGACTGGAGTAAGATTGAGTGTAATCCTATAAGATTTAAAGTAAACGTATAGATGTGATTAAGGAATCGTCAATGATTAGAATGTTTCATAAGCAATAAGTTGGTAAGATACCAACCAAAAGGGTTCTCACTCTTCACTAACCATAAATTATGGAAAGGGAGTATTTATCTTCGATTCACTCAGTGGGAATATTGCAAGATGATACCAAATAAATAATATTCAAATTTATAAAGAAAGGGGATTCAAATACAACCTTGTAGTCATAATATGATACTAAGCAATAAAATAACACATAAAGATGAGCCCCACCTGTAAATATTTGTCCTTCTATCTGAACGTTGACCTATTATCTGATTGTTGAGCAGATTCTCGACTGTTCTCTTTTATACATGACCGTTGACCGGATCAAAATGGCTGATGGATGGTGCGGCTTAGACCAGGTGAGGCAGGCTGGCGTGGACGTCTGGAACCGTTCGGACCAGTGAGATAGTCTGGTGCGAACTAGGCAGTGTAGAATGGTTCGGGCTGGAGTAGCGGTTGGCTCGTACGAGGTGGTCTAGGCTGTTTCGGCCTGCATTTCGATATCACGAACCGGGTAACCTTTTAGTCCTAACCAGTGGGTAGGGGCAGCAGCGCGAACGGATCGTGCATGACCGACGGAATGGCCGGCGGCTTGGCAGACGATCAGGACGGAGGAACGGCGGACGGGTGGAGAAGACGATGGTGGCCATGGCGGGTGGCGGCGGTGATCGGTGGCGGCGGTGATCGGTGGCGGCGGAGGATGGTGGTGGATGGGCAGTGATAGACGGCGGTTGATAGTGGTTTCAAACGGTGGAGACGGCGGAAGCGGCGGACGGTGGTGGTGGCACTGTTGCAGCGTCGGCGGTGGCGACGGGGGCGGGGTGAACGATGCCAGTGGATGGGACGAACGGTGGCAGCAGTGGAGTATGAAGACGGCGGATGGTTGACTGACGATGGACGACGGTGGGCGAAGGAAGTCGGCAGCGGGTGCCGATGGCGATGGATAACTGTCCACACGGCCTCTCCTTTGCGGAGCGAATCGAGGTAAACCTCGAACTTAATTTCTTCTTCTCTCTGCCTCGATCTAGGATTACAAGAATATCCATAAGCGCTCCGAAGTCAATCTAAAGAATTAACAAATAAGGAAATAGATCTTAAATGTGCACGCCCGGTGTGCTGTCAACGCGGAATTGCCGGCTCAAGCCGCTTCAAACGCACGGTCTTGTTGATTCTGTACTACCGAGGAACCGGCCGACGCAGTGAAGGCTATACAGTGGTTCTAACGCCCTGTTATACATCCTCGAGGTGTTGACTTTTCTTGGTCGAGCATCAAAATCAAATACGTCTAGAGAAATGATCCCCTTTGATGACTGAAGAGATTCCTAAAAATGGCTCGTCACGCAAGTCGTCACTGGATGCCCATCCGACTGCCCGTGACGCTCGCAGTGACGTATTCACCGCTTAGGTCAAATACAATAAAGGGGAAAATCTTTGTCACCTTCTGTCCATACCCTATACACCTCGCTTGATGTCCGTCTCCATCCTCGTCTTCTTCTTCTTTTCCAACACCGAACATTATGAAGAAGGAAGCTCTGGACTTGGCGCTGGTGCCGATGGGCCTGATCATCCTCGCCTCCTACCACGTCTGGCTGGTGCGCCGCGTTCGTAGGGAGCCCACCCGCACCGTTATGGGCATCAACAGCATCAATCGCCGCTTCTGGGTGCAGAGCATGATGGAGGTGCCTATCCACTGTGGTTCCGAACTTCCTGTCCCAATTCCCCACGACTTTTCTCACCGTGTGTCGTTTGTTTTGTGCAACAGGACCCCGTTAAGATGGGGATACTCGCAGTTCAGAGCCTGCGGAACAACATCATGGCCTCCACGCTGATGGCCTCCACAGCCATCATGCTCTCCTCTGTGATCGCCATCCTGATGACCAACAGCGGTGGGTGGCCGAGCAGGCTGCAAGAAGGGCGCGCTAAGCTGGTCGTCGGCGATGCCAGCGAGCTGGGGCTCACCATCAAGTTCGTGTCAATTCTCTCGTGTTTCCTCCTCGCGTTCCTCTTCGAGGTGCAGTCAGTTCGCTACTACAGCCACTCCAGCATCCTCATTAACGTGCCCATCTATGGCTCCGGGGCCAAGGCTGCGTGTGGCGGGCAGGAGATTAGGCTGCGGCGGAAAATCACGCCCGAGTTCGTCGCAAAGATGTTGGATAAGGGAAACTTCTTCTGGTCTCTGGGCTTGAGGGCCATCTACTTCTCATTCCCCCTCTT